CATACATCATCTTTATAACACGAGTGTGATTTTGTGCGCACGCTGCTTTACTCATCTCGCTTTATTTATGTAATTTCTTAAAAGTCGGTCAGTACGCTGGTCCTTTTCCCTCTGGTCACAGTTGCTGCTGTGTTATTGATGGGACTTGCCACCTCCCCTGAGCAAGTGCTAAAAGAGCCAGATGGACAGCGAAACAGGGAGAAGCATGGACTGTTATTACCATTTATATGCTCCTGAAATATAAAAGTACAACATTCACCTCATGTGACCTCCATGTGGTAGTAAAAGCACAAGGATTCCTGTTCAGTATCCAACCTCGCCATGCTGGGAGGATTTAGTGCGACTTTTGGCAACTCGAGTCCCTCTTTGGAGAAATTATTGCAGAGCTGTGGGAAAGATAGATAAGGTAATATAAATGTACCAAATGCATTTGCTTTTTTTATTGTTCAGATGAAAACTTTTTATCCCTTTCTGGGCTCTTGAATCCCAAATAATAAAGGATTTTGTCAGTAAAGGGAATCTGGCGTAAAATGTATATGCAATTTTTTTTTAAATTAAAGGACCATATTAGGCTGTTTTCTGTTTTTCCTCATGACAAACATACCTGGAGTTTGGTTTTGTTTCATTTACACATAACAAATTTTCTTTTCTTAATATTTAAATTTTACTAATAACAAAAAACAGGTAATATTATTTAGCTCTACTTTCATATTTTGTTGTCATATTTTAAGCATTGTCATGGCAACGGCATACATCACCTTTAAATACGCAGGGTACAGATAAACCCTGTTCTTCCTCTCAAACAGAAAACACTCTGATCCACCTTGTGATGTCTTGTGGTAATACAGGAAGTGCCCCATTGTTTTTTTTAAACTCCATACACCTTCATTAGAATCAGTTGGATAATTTCAGCCCTGGATTTACCAATCTTTACTAAACAAAAAATAAAACATAGGTGTTCAGTTGAAAGCTACCCCTTTAGGACATCACACAGACTAATAATAAAGGTTTACTCAAATGTGTGAATGGAATAAAAAACTCCACTTATATTTTTGAGGAGGCAACAGCACATGACTGAAAGCTCTCAAGAGTCAATTTTGTGTCATATGGGACATTTAAAGGAACATAACTACAGTTTAACCGTTCTGGTATAGAGAGTACATCTGTGTGTCTTCATGTATTATTGCTTTGTTCATAATCTTTCTCAGCATAGTTTTAAAACTTTAAAACTTAGCATTTCATTATTTGGTGTTTTTATTGCCTCTCTACAGATCTGACCTGTAACTTGGCCTCATAGCACCTGCTTGTCTCCTTGGGAATATTACAACATAATAATAATAATAATAATAATAATAATAATAATAATAATTATTATTATATATTATTATTATTATTATTATAATTATATCATTCAGTTTGTCACTTACTGCCTATATTTACTTTTTAAGTCTTTATTGTTTAGGGTTGTTACAGTTATGAAAAATCTGATACTAAACTGTCAGAGGTGGGACCAAGTCTTTTTGCAAGTCTCAATTAAGTCACAACTCTTTGACGTCAAGTCTGAGTCAAGTCCCAAGTCAAATAAAGGCAAGTCCAGGTTGAGTCTCAAGTCACATGCGTCCAAGTCAAGTCCAAGTTGTCTCCTTTGAGCCTCAAGTCATTTCAAGTCTATAAAACAGAGTACCAAATATACCTAAGATTTTTGCAATTTATACAACTTTTAAGATAAATTGTACTTAAAAAAAATCTAAGTACTTTTATATATGTGTACTTATAGAGTATGTAAGAGTTGTAGAAATGTAATTTTTTTCCTTTTTAAATGTCTTGACAAGAACTTAGAGTGAATCATTACAGAAAACAGAATAGAAAGAATTCAGATTTAAAAGTGCTTCTCAAATCTTCTCAAGTCACAGGCCTCAAGTTCAAGTCAAGTAATATGGAAACTAGATACTAATCTGAGCAGGTATCAATACTAAAAAGGTCACATTCACAGGATTATATTTGAGCTTTCCTGAACAAGTTTTACTTGATTTTGAGCTTTTGTCAGAGATATACAACCTCATGAAGTACTTTTATTTAGTGTTGAAAATTACAGTTTAATTTTGTTATTCCAGAATATAGTCTGGTTTATTTTAGATTATGGAGGACTATTTTTGAGTGAAGCAGGTGATGTACCCTCCTCTATAGAAAAGCTTCACCTTTCAGCTTCAAATACAAATGTCATTGAAGCTCTCCCTCCTTTATCAGTGTAATTTGTTTCACATTATAACATAAAGTACTTCTCTTTCTCAGTTACATACACGCTTACTTGCTACTTATATTTTAGTCTGGACACACACAGCCTTTTCTATTCACCCAGGCGTCTGCAGATGGTAGTGTGTCACAATGCTAAAATTCAATTACTTGCCTGGACAGCCAAACCCACGGACTTTAAAAAATGCTTTACAGAGATCTTGCTCTGGAAACTGTATCCTGTCTTCACGATTTCCAATGGGCACAACTGTCAGGCAGATGAACCAATCAAAGAAATACATGTACCCAACCTAAAATGATAGAATAATGACGTATTTACAGTTGTTGATGTTTAGTATTTCATTTCTTTCCTCATACAACTTGCAAACTTGAAGCGGCGTGTACTTTAGAGCATAAAACAGTGTCAGTTCATATCTCCTATATGCAGATCATTCCACTTGACAAGAATAACTTTCTCATGCTTTCCGAAAAACGGAATCGCTTTCATCTTTGTAAAGAAGAAATCCAGCAAATATGGATGGAGTGTTACCATAGAGACACAATAAAACAAAACAAAATAAAACAAATGGAAATAATGGAAAAGTAAGCAAATCTAAAGGATGGTGCATGATTGCTGCTACCTGCAATGCTGTTGTGTCTTTGAGCAAAACACTTTACCCTGCTTGTCCATGAACCTGAGGATCTATAGCACAGATCAATACTAAATATTTAACCCTCTCAGGCTCAAATTAATTTTTAGTATCAGGAAAAATCTGATATTTGGGGAAAATTATAATATGGGGTAGTAATATACAATTCTGACTTTTTTATCCTTTGTAAACAAAAAAAGTATTTTGCACTTCTGGCAGGCCGTTTGCGTGTAGTCATTCCTGCACAGTCTGCATCGTCCACGTTTATCAGCATGGATGGGAGAAAAGGCTCCTGAGTAAAAAAAGCTCATAAAATATGGATGTGGAGTAAGTAGGTACTTGGAATTTAGCTGTTGCAAATCTGCAACGCCTGCCTGGAGAGGGTTAAAATACACACATTTTTTATGGGGTTACTTTTGTGTCATTAATATTCACAAATACACAGATGGTGATCTACAAATAGTCATTGATTTGTACATGTGTTTTGATATCCACAAATGCAAATTTAATATTTGTAACTTCTATTTTGGTATTTACAAATAGATGTGTATTTGTAAATATATCTTTTTTCATTTGCAAACATTTTTTTTCATTTGTAAAACTAAAAATTCTGTTTGTAAAATATGATTTGCATTTGTGGCTCACCAGTTACACGAATCCACCAACATAATTTTGAGACATCCACAAACTCAGACAGACCCACAAATACAGACACGTACTTGACCAGCAGGGGGCAGCAGCTGGCAAACGAAACATTTGACACTGCTGAAATGGAAGCGTCTCTCGCTAACTTAACGTCACTTAGGCTAATGTTTACCTTTATCAAATGCCACAACAGCGAAGGACTAAACCAGAACTGAACCAGGACTGAACTTGGACTAAAACAGGACTAAACCAGAACCGAGTGTCTAAAAGACTGAGAGTTGTGCGCAGACCATCGGGTGACCGCGGGTGAAAGAGCTCCGAGCCCCGCCTCCCTCTCTCTCAAGTCAAAGATTAGTCCTGGTTTAGACCTGTTTTAGGTCTAAACCAGTTTCGTGTGCCAGCTGCTGCCCCCTGCTGGTCAAGTACGTGTCTGTATTTGTGGGTCTGTCTGAGTTTGTGTCTCAAAATTACATCATACCAGAAATCAGTGGATTCGTGTAACTGGTGAGCCACAAATGTGAATCACATTTTACAAACTGAATTTTTAGTTTTACAAATGAAATTATTTTTTGCAAATGAAAAAACATATATTTACAAATACAAATCCATATTTACAAATACAAATCCATATTTACAAATACAAATACTATTTGTAAATACCAAAATACAAGTTATAAAAATATTAAATTTATATTTGTGGATATCAAAACACATGTACAAACCGTTGACTATTTGTAGATCACCATCTGTGTATTTGTGAATATTAATGAGACAAATGTAACCCCATACATTTTTATCTTGATTATAGGGGAAAAAGTTGTTTGCTACTTGAATTTTACTTCTGAAAAATATTATCTACAGTAATTAAGACCTTTTCAAATGAGAATATAGTTTTGATAAGTTTTTGTATTGGTTAGTATTTGGGTTTAGTATCTAGTTACAACCCTACAACAGATACATTATATTGTATTATCAGTATGATGTAATGAGAGAATGAAAGAGCAAATATTATTACAATGATAAGATAGAACTTTTATCAATCTCTCAGTGGATACCTTTTCCAGTAAATACACAATAACAAAGAGCAGATCATAAAATGTCTGCACGTTAGGAGAAATAATTAGCACAATTTTAAAACAATTGAATCAGTGACATGATATAAATGCTCAAACACAGTGCAAAAATACAAAGAAGTATACCATATATACATATTTATCATGATGTTAGTAAGTGGCCTTGAACCAGTGTAGCCGACTTCTGTTCCCAAACAAAAGGGAAGTGCTAATGTGGAAAAATAACTAAAATGACTGCAATTTGCTCGCAGTAACTCACATTTCTTTTTCTATGTTTTTCAGACCAAAGCAAACCATGGCTTTCCTGCTTGATAAAACTCCCTGGACATCCTCGGACATACCTCCTACTTAGCCGACGCCACTGAGTTCATAATGTAATCAGCACCACTTCCCATTGGAGATGATGGAAGCTGGCTTGTCCGTAGACCCTTTACACGAGAGGAGCCATCTTAACTTCAGCCATGTCAAGATCAACGCTTCTTTGCTAGACTTTTCACACAATACAAATAGCACCACTCTGAATGCTCACAACCATTTCCACAACGCGCTGCTCGGGGTCATTCTGGGACTCCTATCTCTCCTCACCATTATAATGAATCTTCTGGTTTTATATGCTGTGAAGAGAGAGAAAAGCTTACACACAGTTGGAAACCTTTACATCGTGAGTCTTTCGGTGGCAGATTTGATAGTTGGCACCACTGTCATGCCACTAAACCTTGTGTACTTGCTGGAAGATGAGTGGAAACTGGGTCGCGCGGTCTGCCAGTTTTGGTTAATCATGGACTACGTCGCCAGCACTGCGTCGATCTTCAGCTTGTTTATTTTGTGTTTGGATCGGTACCGCTCCGTGAGACAACCGCTGAAGTATTTAAAGTATCGAACAAGAGGAAAAGCTAGTTTGATGATATCCGGAGCGTGGTTGCTGTCAATGATGTGGATAGTTCCCATTTTAGGTTGGCGAAGTTTCACTCACGTCGATTTGAAACCAGAAGAAGAGAACAAATGTGATACCGATTTCCGATTCGTGACGTGGTTCAAAGTCATCACCGCCATTTTTAACTTCTACGTTCCTTCGATATTGATGTTGTGGTTTTACACACATATTTACCGAGCGGTGAGGCAACATTTAAGAGACAGAGAGAGGATCATCCATCCTACAGATTCTTTTGGCGAGAACGAACCCAATGACCCGACGCCAGAACCTCCGAAATCACCAAAAAAGGAGAAAGAAGTCTTCAAAAAATGCTCAAAAACTCAACGCTTGCTCGACCAAAACACCATAGACCAGACCTATTCCCTGGAGGAGATGGATCGGGCTAAAGTGGCACCATCCAGGAAAAGCTTAGCGAGAGGCCAACATAAATGTTTACTTGCAATGACAAAGCAAAGACTGCCTCAAAAAGTCAATAAAGGCCCTCTAGCTACTTGCAAGGAACAGCAAAAAGATTCAGAGCCTGCATATAGTAAGCCCACAGTGGCAAAAGACATAATCTGTTCTGTTGAAACCAACGAAAATAAAGTGCAAGCAACTGTGAATCAATGTCAAGTCTCTGTACCTAAGTCTGTAAGTGGAAATAGGATATCGGACATGCAAGGGTACAAGCCTGCAATTTGCAACAACTGTGAAGTCAATCATTCTAGTACCCCTTGGACGGATGAAGGCATTGAACGGGAAAAATTGGACCCAGAAAATGAGGTGACGTTAAAACAGACTTGGCAAAAGTTTATTGACAGTTCTCGACAGAGGATTCAAAGTTTGAGGATTCATAAGGAGCACAAAGCAGCGAAACAGTTAGGGTTTATCATAGCGACTTTCCTCTTGTGTTGGATACCGTATTTTATTGCGTTCATGGTCATGGCGTTTTGCAAAGTGTGTGTGCATCATGATTTGCACATGTTCACTATATGGTTAGGTTACATGAATTCAACACTGAATCCGTTCATATATCCACTGTGTAATGGGAATTTTAAGAGGGTTTTTAAAAATATTTTGAACATTCACTAGTGGGGAAAAGGCCCAATATTATGCTTTTTTCTGATCCATGTTGTAATGTTCCTCATCATAAACATACCTGAAGTTGTGTTTTGTTTCATTCACACATGTTTAACACACAAATCCTGCATATTTAGACTGTGTATTTCTCTCAAAATGAAAACATGTGGAATTACAGGAATTTGGATAATTTCAGCCCTGGAATTGCCCGTCTCTACTAAGGTAAAAGGTTCATTACATCACAAGGTGGAACAGAGCATTTTGAGATTTGAAAATGAAGACAGACTAAAATAAAAAGGTTTCTCAAACATGTGTAAATGAAACAAAACACAACTCCAGGTATGTTTTTGATGCCGTAACAACATTCTGACATGGCTTAAAGCTCACAAGAGTCAATTTTGTGTAATATAGGACCTTTAAAATGCTTTTTGAACTATGAAATGAGAGCAAAGAGGTCTGAACCAGTTTCACATGGGTCACAGGTAGTACTTAGAGTGACCACCTGTCCTTCTTTTGGTTGTCCTGAATTGCATTTTGGCCCGTGTCCTTTGTCCCACTTATTTAGAGAATGTCCCACTTTTCCATTGATGCCACATGAATTGTTATAGTGGCTCGTAATACACCGACACCTACTGCTATTCCAGTCTCTGTGATAAAAACTAAAAATCATATAGGGTTACTACAGTTATTATCTATAAGCTTCATTTTCCTGAGTCCGCTTTTTCTTGTCTCACCACATTATGCATAGGTTTCCCATTCAGAATTTTGTTTAAAGATGCACTGTGTAACTTTACTGGATACTACCAACTTGTCTCCATGGAGATGTCATGCATTAAACATTTATTTCTAACATTTATTTCAAAAAATTCAATCAAAACATGTATTCTTACTGTAAGCTGGATTGCCATTGCACTGATTTGACCTGTAACTTGGCCTGATGTCGTCACTTGCTTGTCTCCATGGAGATATTATTGGTGTAATAATACTATACTGTGGGACATTTTAAGCGACGCAATAACATTAAGTTATTCCAGTTATGCATCTATAAAATTGTTATCGCTACGACAACGTAATCACTCTGAAACCCCTATTCAACATATATTTTCACTTCTTTTGGACAATTTGAGGTGGCCGCCCTAAGAATTCTTGTCTCGCACCGAACCGAAGTACTGACTAATATAAATAAATGAAATGGGAACAAAACAAAAAAGGAGTATGAAAACGACATAAAACATATAAACATAGTATATCATGATTTGTGCTGATGTTTCCCTAAGCATACGGTCGAATACATGGGCCATTTACACTGGAGTAGTAGCAGGTCTGGTTCATTTCTATCAAAGGAGTCCACCCAAAAGCATTACATATCTGCTAAGTTTCCTCTAAGCGTTCTTCTGAGTGGTTTGTTTGTTGATAGAGCTAAAGATAATTCTACTCACATGCAACAGGGACACGGAGTAAAAGGGACTGTTTATGGATTTGTTGCTTTTTTTTTTTTTATCTTTTGTTCACTTCATTTTACATAACGCATTATAAACATTTTTCAAAGTCCTGCACAAAAACTAAGCACGCATAACTTACCGCCATAGCCTCCCATTTAAGCAAGAACTATTAAAATCAAATAAGAGTATAATGTTTCAGTATAAATAAATCAAAACAATATAACACATTCAAAAAAAAAATTCACACGGCTCTTGTTAAATCTAAATTTAATGGCGCCACCGTTTAAGTGTACATTTGGATAATCATGAATCTTGTTTCCTGTTTATAAGCACCATTGGAAGGACTTTCCATCACTCAAAAGATAGAATATTTTGAATGTATTGGTAATTGCTATGGCAACAGTGGTAACTTCTCATCACTCCAAAACCAATGGATAGTCTTTATTTGGGTAAAGTTAAGTGTTTGAACGTAACAAGAACAGTTTGACAATGTTATGAAATGTGTGATAAGGGTCAAGCTAGTGTTAAAGAGCCTTAAAGGGACAGTCCAGAATTTTGTACATAGGGCCTCATTTCCCAGTGAGTGTTGGAGACGTGTGGAGACACTTTTTAAAATTTTCCATCCAGTCCTTGTATTTGCAGAGGTCGCTGGTGCTAGGCTAGTGCATGTCAATGGCCATAGTTAGCCTGCCACTAAAAACAGTCTTACACACTCCACAAACACACAAAGCAAAACAGTTTACTCCAGTTATATACTGTAGTTACTCCAGACTATCGCTGTAAATGTCTGTGTTGATAGAATAATGTTTGAAATAAAACTAACTTTGTATGGCATGAATCGTCACATGTTGAGGGACTATTTTCTCATATATCAGTTCACCGCTGCCAAGCTTTCTATCAGAAAGTACAACTCGCCGCTGCTGCTCAGACATAAATCTTTCAAATGCTCGGCTGGTTTTACTTCTAAAATTATTCTATTGACACAGACATTTATATCGACAGTCTGGAGTAATAATTGTTTTGCTTCGGGTGCTTTGTTGAGTGGGTAAGACTGTTTTTAGTGGCAGGCTAACAGTGGCCATTAACATGCACTAGCCTAGCACCAGCGACCTCTGGAAATACAAGGACTGGATGGAATATTTTTTTAAAAGTGTCTCCACACGTCTCCAACACTCTGGCTAATGAGGTCCTATGTCCAAAATTCCAGACTGTTCCTTAAAAAGATTCTGTTATAATGTTGTTTCCTCATCACCTGGAGTTGTGTTTTATTTCATTCACACTTATTTAACAGACAAACCTTGCACATTTAGGTTTTTAGGTTCTTCTCTTAAACATTAAACACTCTTGTGATGTCGTGTGGTAGTACAGGAAGTGCTCCACAGTGTTTTTAAACTCCATACACTTTCAGTAGAATGGACAGTTTCATCTCTACTAAACAAAAAATAAAGGGTAGCTGTTAACTTGAAGAGTACTGCTACATGACATCATAAGGTGGAACAGAGCATTTTGGGCTTTAGGGATGCAGACAGACTAATAATAAATAATAAATAAATAAATAATGTGTGAATGAAGCAAAACACAACTTCGGGTATGCTTTTGAGGAGGTAACAGCATTATAGCATGGCTTAAATATAGCACATCTAAATGTACTTATGCAGCTTTATGAAAAAAGTTGTATCATTTATTTCAATGTAGAGAAGGTGACACAGAAGATGTGAGCATTTCTTGTTGTACCAGAAACTCTAGCAGCTTGTTGTGTAGTCATTAATAAACAATTCTCATTTCTAAGCTTGCCTCGCTACCTTAGGGGGCAAGACTTCAGATCCAACTCAGTATAGTGAGCCTATAAATCCTGTCTCAAGCCACTACCATCAATCTAAAATGGCTTCTAGATGGGAGCTGAAATGTATTGATTGTAAAAACAGTGTCCCGATGAGTACTGCTGAAACCTTCTCTACTTTGGAACACTCCTAGACGAATGAATGATCACGTTGTCTTGTTTACAATGGCGGAAGAAGTATACCAGAGCAAGGAATATTCAAGAAAAGTATCATATGCAAAAAAAAAAGTTAAAGTCTTAAAGTATCTCTTTAAAAATTTATATAAGAGTAAAAAGTAAAAGTATTTTGGACAGACATTGAGGTCTAATAATGCTTGAAATGGAGTGATTTTGATAAAGATTTGTGCTGAAATTTGTTCAGCAAAAATAATTAAATCGATATTTTTTTCCTTGCTTGTTTTTCTTTGTATATTTTGTTTGCTCAGACTCCGAATCTCTTAAAAATAAACCCCCAGTCTTTTCAGCAGGTCTCACACAATAATAATAAATACTTTCACTTTTCAGTCCTGTTCAAAAATATAAAGGAATAAAAAGTACAGATATCTGCTCTCAACTGTAGTAAAGTAAAAGTAAAACACATCCACTTTAAAATATACTTAAAGGTGCACTGTGTAACTTTTCTGGAGAGGGTCCGCAACCTGTTTGTCTCCATGGACATGTTAATGTTTTGGTTTCAGTTATCCACAGTCATATTAAACTACTCAATCTTGGATTTATTCAGCTGCGGGTGTTATTTAATGCTAGTTTTGAGCATTAAATAACACCCGCAGCTTAAAATACATGAATTCTTACTGTGAGTGGGGTCGCCTCTCCACAAACCTAACCTCTAATTTGGCTTGCAAGTCTCCATGGAGATTGTTAAGTTTATGGCTCTACTGTGAAACATTCTTGACACATGTCCACAAAGACTAGCAGGTGACGGACCCTCCACTGGACAAGTTACAGAGTGCACCTTTAAGTAAAGTACAAATACATAACATTTATTCTTAAAGGTATATTGTGTATCTTTTCTGGAAGGTTAAATGCCTTTCTGCGTAGAGTTATTGCTTTGTCTGGAATGTTCGTATGTCTGTTTTTCGAGGTATTTTTGAGCTATAAAACCTCCTGTAATTGAATAAAAGTAAGACAGAGCTGTTTAATGTCATACTGTGGCACATTCCAGGCATAGAAATGACATCTCCATAGAAACTAGGGGTGCGCTTTGCCTTGAGTTTGATGATACGATAAATATCATGATTCACATGTCACAATTCAGTATATCACGATATATCCCGATACTAATACAATGGATGATACATTGTGATTTATCAATAATTACTTCAAATAATACAGTCAACTGCACCTTCAAGAGAACACAACTGTATGATTTTTTTTTTAATCATGAGAACAATGAATGTAACTAATGAATTTTTGAGAAAAAAAAAATCAATTCAGATCCATTTTGTATCAATTCGAGGTTTGTGCAATTACGTATCACGATATATATGGCAAATAATTTGTTCCATCAGATTTTGAATTTTAAATACCACTGAATTTCTCACTTTGAATATTTTAAGTCTGAAAAAAGATGTTTGAATTATTTTTATTTTGAATTTTAGTGGCTGAAATTTGAAGTTTACTGTCAATTCAAAATAAAAAAAAAAATCACCACAGATATTTTCAAGCCCTCAAATTCACCAGTTGAAATTCAGAATGTAAAATTCGCAGTGAAAAATTTCACAGTAAAGATCCAAGATGCCAAGGCAGAAGCAATCGATCATGTGAGCGAGGAGGACAGAGGCTGTTTCCTATTGGCTGTTCTCATCTGTGGGCGGGGTTTACACTTAAGAAATCAAAGAGATGAGGTTTCGATGAGGCTAATTCTGACCAATCAGATCGCATCACTGCAACATTTCCTGTTTCTTACTAAGTTAGATCGGATGACTTTGGATCGATTGCTTCTGCCTTGGCATCTCAGATCTTTACAGTGAATTTTCTTCACTGAATTTTACACTCTGAATTTTGACTGTTGAATTTGAAGGCTTGAAAATATTTGTGCTGAATATTTAAAATGTGATTTTTTTAATATTGAATTTTATTCATGGAAAATATACACTTAAAATTTCAGCAAACAAAAACTCATAATAAAAATAATTCAAAGATGTTTTTTCAGAGTAAAAAATTTCAAAGTGAGAAATTCAACAGCATTTAAAATTCAAAATTTGATTAAATAAATTATCTGCCATAGATATATCACTGAATTGTTTTTTTCTTACACCCCTAATAGAAACAAGTTGCACAATTCATTTTGTTTACACAAATCAGTAGTAGGCACCGCTCTGAAGTGCTAAGTGAAAAGCTTTGTGCAGAATTGAATGTCATGCTGATTGTCACCAGTCTGAGTAAAGTTGCTTGGACATCTTCCATTCGTCACTTGTACGTGTTTGGACAATGAACCCACACACTCTCTCCACACCAAACAAACAAGTCTCTCTCAAAGAAAATATGTACATGTGTTCAAATGTAAGATACAGTATTTATTTTTTATAATCTATTGCACTTTGCTTGTTTAAAATGGAAGTGATATTTATTGTTTTTCTACGTGACTGAAAATTATAAAGATGCAAAAAGTGATAATAATAATGACACATGGCACTGAATGATGCTATGAGAGCTGTACTGTCATATACTGCGCTAAAATGTTATTAAATGCATGTGATTCACTTCATGTGTTCTTGTTCACTTATGGGTTTAGGAGGGACATGCTGTAGACAGTGGACACAACTTATCAAATGTAATCAAAACATTATCAACACTGTCTTAGTTACAAAGCTGGCAAAATAGAATCACACATGGATCCAAAATAGTCTATCAATTTGACCACTGTTGACCATAATATTACTTTTACTTACTTTTTGTGCCTTGCATATTGTGTGTGTTGCATTTCCATGGAGACAAGGCCAAATAAGAGTCTGGATTGTGGAGATGCAAGCCCACTCACAATGACAAGATTTTCAGTGCAATAAAAGTGTCAAAAATTGTCATAGGCTTTTATTTTATTAAATGCTTTTGGTTAAACTGTTTGTAGGACTTAAAGAAAGAATTGTTTGGAATGTGTACAGCTGCAGAAAGTTGTTTACAATTATACTTATGATATTTGCACATTCAGTCAACACCGTTTATTGTATTGCTTGTTGAATTGCAGTAGATCCTGTTGCTTTACAATTAAAATACTACTACTATTACTACTACTACTGCTTCTTTAGTCCTCTACTACTTGTTCCAGTTTCAGATTTCACTGCAGCAAGTCGCCTCTACTTAATAATACTCTGCACCTTATTCTCACACTGACCTTAAAGGCCCTGAACCCAAGTTAGAAACATGAGTGAGGAACATGCATATCTGCCTACATGCATCATTTGCTTTGTTTACATGCACACCAAAACTGTGATTATCTTTTAATCTTAGAAATCTTAGAATTTCTAGACTAAAGTCATTTACATGGCACGCACTCTGCAAAATCGTACATTTTAAAAATCAGATTCTGTGTGCGCATGAAATTGCAGCCATTATATTGCATCATGGTGTGATCATATCAGGCAGTTGCTTTGACATTGACATTATGACATTGTGGAAACAGACAAAATGAGGCATGACACTTGGAAAATGTCAGACAGTTTTTTTTTTTTTTTTATAAATGCACACTGTATTTCGAAGTGTTTACTCTGGAACAAGAAGACATCAAAATTTGCTGAAAGGTCTTAATAGAGGTGGGCGATATGACCTTTTTTTTTTTTTTTTTTTTTAAAGCCAGATGACAGGTTAGATTTTATCACAATTCATGTAGACATGTTTATACAGACAGTAGGAGCTAAAGTCATCTCCTGCTCTGGAAAGTTCACTCTTCCCCAGGCTAATTCTGCATGTCACAATTTTTTTAGCCTAGAGCTGCATTAAATAGAGAATTACTAAAACACAATATCACCAAAACTGCATATCATCAAAAGGATGAGCTCAGGATTAGATTTTTATTATCATATCACCTCCATACAAGCTCTCCAACTGATCTGACTCATATCCATCATGACATCAAAAAAACAGACCTCCACATCTGCCTTTTTGTTGGTGCCACTATCAGCCATGCAGAATTTTTCTCATCACAGAGAAATGGGCCTATATTTAAAAGTGTCACAATTTTCACAGTGTCTTTTGGGACTGTACTGAATATATTAACTCCCACACTGTTTACTCTAAAAGAAGAGATATTATTACATGAAAGCTTCAGGAATTGATGATGAAAATGAACAATAATTATAGTGATGAGGAAAAAAATGCCCTAAAAACATGTTATGTTGTTACTCAGGTATCATACAAAATATCAGTACTTAGAATTTATCAAAAACTGTCTTTCTTTTCTCTTTCTTTTTCTGCACATAAATTGAATTGTTAGGTCAGTGGTCAGTTCAGACTGGGTTGTATAGTAAAAGAAAAAAAAAATCTTTATAGTGGAGGAGTTTCAGTGCATTTTAATGCAAATCTCATTCTGATACTTGCCGTATATTACTTGGTATCAGATTTTTTTTTTTTTTTTCAAGTGGGCTCAGAGAGTGAATGGGGGGTGAGTCACTGTTTTGCCCTGTCAAATCCTTCACAGTGGCTGAGCTCAGAGCACTGTGGAAAGAAATATTGATTACACTGTCATTACAGTTGATCGTAGGCTTAATATGTTTCACTGGCTTCTAAATCTGGAGACAGAAATCTGAAATGAATTAGGAATTTGACCTTGAAAAGACGCATCAGATTATAAATTGGTCTTTCGTGCTTTTACCCTATTGGTTATTTATAATTTTCTCAGGACATTGCAGGAAAGTTAACTGAAGAGATTAACATTCCAAAGGGGGATTGAGTGAGATACTTGGATTGATGTGAGACACCACAATTCTATCAATAAAAGGTTACGATGACATTAGAGGCTAAACTAAAATAAGCCTATGTCTTTAAAGCAACAGTGTATAGCTTCCTGGAGTTGGCACGTCACCTGAGTGATTCCATTGGAATAAAAAGTTAAATTCAGGAACATTCTCCATGGAGAAGGATGTGTTTTATAACCTAATGTAAAGCTGTGTAGACTATTCTAGCCAAAGGAACAACAATTCCATGGAGACAAGCAGGAAGAGGACACATGTTTTCGATGTGAAAAACATGTGTTGTGTAATCAAAACATTGTAAAAAGCTTTTTATTTTAGTTAACTTTTGGCTAAATAGTCAGTGGGGCTTTAATGTAGTCTGTAGCTTATATGTATCTCCACACATTCAATTCAGTTCATATTATATGAATTGTATTTGCAGGTGAGGGGTGAGGTGGGTGGTGTATATGCGGGTGAGGGGTGAGGCGGGTGTAAATGTGTTGCAGGGAGGGGAGTGGTGCACAAGTGATCTTCCTGGCTGTGTTCACTATGCGCTGCGGGGTTCTTCTGTAGTGGTCAGTGCAGCTTCCGCCCCACACAGTGATGCAGCTGGAAAGGATGCTCTCAATGGTTCCTCTGTAAGAGGTGGTCACAAGCACTTGCCCGCGTGAGTTTCTGCAGGAAGTAGAGGCTCTGCTGGGCTTTCTTCACCAGTGATGCAGTGTTGGTGGTCCAGGAGAGGTCCTCACTGATGTGCACCCTCAGGAATACACACACTGGCTAAATCTAAATATTAGACCTACTATTCACTACCATACCTTTGGATTATAATGGGTGAAATATAATTAGTAATTCGTTAAGCAGCCAGGAATCAAGAACTTTCCTTCATCTCATTTGCATTATGTTCGTTTTCTGTCAGATTGGGTTTTGACACGGTCCCTAACTGTTCCACGTGGAGCAGCCAATCCTCAGCCTGCTCTCCAGCGCTCAGGAGGAAACCCGGAACCAGGGCACTTTTCCCTTTCTTTTGTAATAAAATAGATGAACAGCGACTTAAATATTAACCAAAACTATAATTGTGCTGTAAATTGAGATCCGAGAGAGCTATAACACATCATAATTTGTGCATAGATAGTCCCTAAATACTTTGAAATGATCGGAGCAGCAGCGAAATGAAAAGAAACGGCACGTATAGATTTCTATCCGTTTTTTCTTGCTTTATCGTGTGTGCGTTTCTTTTCATCTTTTGGTTCTTTATTTTTTACTCCATGGTTCATGCACCATAGTTCCCATTTTTACTGTTTTATTCCAAGCTTCTGCTGTTACTACATACCCACAGTGCATTGCTTTATTGACAAGTCTCGTGATCACATGACCACCGTGACCAGGAAGTAACGAATTGGGTAAGTGAAAAAGCGACAAGAAATGCGTATTTTATAGATAATTTTCGTGTAGTTTGCTTGACAGTTTTCTCTCGAGTTGCTGCTGTTTTGGCGAATGCAATGCGTGTAGTTGTGCTGTTATCAAAAACGAAATGTGACGAGGGTTGAACTGTCAAAGCTGGTGTGTGGAATGAACTGTCTTCTGCACACCATTGTAGTGCTCTGTGTCTCTCAAAGTTTTCACACCAAATACCACCAAAGAAAAGAACTGACTTCCCGTATAGGCCTACCACCTAATCCTTGTCAAACCTAGTCAAGTGTATAACAGGACCATTCCAAGTTTAATCTAGGGCTAAACCAGGTCTAAAAATGGGCTGCATCATTTCCACTGTAGTTCTAAGTGATCCAGGGTGACCAGAATTTCAAAATAAAAAACTAGGACATCCCCGTTTTTTTGGTGGTTGGTAATAATAAAATTGTGAACCGAGTGCATAATTAAGGATATTTGTTATGCAAAGATCAACCATTCCAACATGTGAGTCAATATAGTCACATTTTCTTGCAGCTTTTCTGTATTTTACCTAAACAGATAACAATTTATGTCTGTCTTTACTGTTAACAGGTATGGAATTTATCAAAAATAGGGATACCTGGGACATTTCTTGTATAAAACTGAGACAAATCAGTGGTTTTGGATAAATCTGCAGGGACAGGGGTCTCAAAACTGGGACTGTCCTGGGCAAATAGGGACATCTGGTCACCCTAAAATTATCCAAACTCTAAATTAGGGTAGCCCACAAACTGAAGAGCTGTCCAAGTACAGTACAATTTGAGAAACGTTGATCTGTATTGTGTATTCTACTATTGTTTATTGTCATCAATACTATATACTATAGCTCTGTAAATTAAAACATTTTATTCCCAATATATTATATGTAATCTTCACAATTTAGCTGTGAATGAGCTGCATGCAAAACTTTCTAAGCATTACAATCATAATATATATACATTTTTTCCATATGGTCAGGTACATTTTCTTGGTGATATTTTATGATAAAGTAGCTTTATTGAGTCAAACAGTGGACGCACATGAATTTCTATCCATCCAATATATTTTATAAGGTATGACTGGATGTTGTTTTGAATACAGATGGATTAATTGTACAGCCCCAGTTGTATCCTTAATCTGTAACCTAAACCTTATTATCAATGTTCTTTATTTTCCAGGTTTCATAACTTTCTGAGGTCCTTTTTGATAGTAGCACAATGGCGTCTGCAGCTGGAGAGGTAGCAGGAGCTAAGTCTGATCTGAAGCTGCAGTTTGCTCCTTTCAGTAGTGCTCTGGAGGCCGGCTTCTGGCATCAACTCACTCAGAAGAAACTCAACGAATACAGGCTGGATGAGAGCCCCAAGAGCATCAAGGGCTTCTATTACAACGGTGGGTCCAGGGTTCACATTTGAATCATTTTATGCAATACAATTTTCATTATATTATACAATCATTATAAATGTCTTTTATTGTCCCTACTAATCAAGAACTGACTGAAAGTTATATAGTTATTTCAAAAAGTTTATGATACTACTACAAGCGAAAACTACTATTTATTTTATGTTTATTGTCCAGCTTGTTTTTAGACTAAGGGAGTGAAGACTAGACTATGCAGAGCCACCGTAGTTTCATGTATTAAATATAAACACTGCTGTATAGAGCGAAACAATGTAAAGGTTATAGTTAGCACTATTGCAATGTAATGCAATTAATCAAGTGTATTGCAACAAATTATCTGAGTTATACTTGGCAAAAATTGATTAGTTATAAACTTAAGTGTTATATCTACATTGCTCAAAAAGGGAACACTTTGAAAACACATCAGATCTCAGTGTGAAAAAAATAAATGTTGGAAATCTATACAAATCAGGACACGGCAATGTCTTAGGAACAAAGGGATGGCACCTCTTTTAATGGAAATGGAAATGAACAACAGGCACACTAGAGTGGCATCAGTGAGATATAACCCCTAAAACAGCGCATGGTTCAAGTTTCTCTCTCTTGATCTTTTTTGGCTGGTTTTCCACTAGTGCTGGCTTCACTACTGTACTGGGAGTGTGAGGACAGCTTCTCCAGGATGGCACATGCGCACTCGCTGTTGCAAGGAGATTTAATGTGATTTAATGTGTCTCCTAGCACAGTCTCCAGAACATGAAGGAGATTTCAGGTAACATGCAGTTACTGTAGGGGAGCTGGACAGGAAGTTCCTCTACTCATCAGAAGGACATATATCCGCTCCTTTGTGCAAGGAGGTGCATATTCAGCGCTGCCCGTGTCCTCCAAAATGACCTCCAGAAGGATACTGTTAGTTGCAAAAATACAGTTATGTCAAAATGGATTAGCCTGCCTGATGTGTTTAAAAGTGTTTATTTAATTTAAATTTTAAAGTGATACTTTAATTTTAACAGTATGGATATAATTCGTGAATTAAGTCATCATGATCATCATGATTTTTTTTTTCTCAAATTATGACCTGAATGTATTTACTTACTTAAAATAATCCTAATTTTACCCAGTCTATTCATAAAACAAATCTTATTTACAATGTCTAACAATGACATTTACATTTACATTGCATCAGTTTATTTAGCCTCATAGCTTGTACAAATGTGTGTAACTATTCATACACATCTGTTTTTTTCTTTAGGCGATGCAGTCGGTTTACCTACTCGACTAACTCTGGAGTTTAGTGCTTTTGAAGTGTAAGTATTTCATTAAATCATATGACTAATACCAAATATGAAGATACCAGACTGAGGTAAAAAGAAGAATGAGCTAACTCTTGTTTGATTTTATCTGTAGTGATGGACCAACTCCAGCCCGCTGCTGTCCAGCCTTAGGAACCCTGTATAATATGAACACACTAGATGCCTTTAAAGCCACTGATAAAAAAGCAATGTTGGAAAAAGAAGCCAGTGAGGTAGTAGTAGCTATTGTAGTAGTATTAGCAGTAGTAATACTACCAATGCTACCTTTAATTACAGTTTTACAATTAATGAAATATCATGTTTTGTAGATATGGGATGCCATTAAATCAGGAGCTGCAGTAATCGACCCCTCCATTTTGTGTAGATTCATTCTCCTCACCTTTGCAGTAAGCACGCAAATGACTGTATTCTAATTCAGTCTAATCAAATTGTTGAGTAACATGATTTATGCATTGATGTATGTTTCAGGATTTGAAGAAGTACCATTTTTATTATTGGTTTTGCTTCCCAGCGCTTTGTTTTCAAGAAGGAATTAAGATTATCAAAGAGCCTGCAATCATTGAGAAAGTATTTTCATCCAAACAAGTGAGTTTTAATTTAATATAAGTCATTGTTTTCTGTTTAATTTTTGGTACCACTTAATAATAACTACACCTTAATTAGCCTTAATAACACAAAGAAAGACTTAATTTATAATGAACAAATTATTATTATTATTATTATTTTATTTTATTTTTTTAAGTTTATTTCAATGGCAGGTATAGCTAATGTTAAGTGCTAAAAAGTGGTCTACGGATACAGAAGCAGAGAGGAAGAGGCTGATAGTCCTTGAGGTCGTGAAGGAGGAAGAGGAAGGCCACAGAATCAAATCAGTGAGCCAATGTAAGCAACAGAGATAGACGATAAATGTGAGGGTGAGAACATCACATGGGCTGATCTGTGCAAGAATAAACTTCCTAATCAGGGCCACCTATGATACTGTCCCAAGCCCACAAAACCAGCACCCATGATACCGCACGAACAACTGTCAGCTCTGTGTTCAGCAAAGTCCAAGCCTCCAACATGTGCTCTCTGGCTGCAAAACTGCCCTCATTCAGGGACACTATGGATGGCGCCATTAAATGAGTCCTGCGGAAGCTAGCTGAGGTCATTGAGGTGAGGGTTATAAGCAAACAAGACCAACTCAGCATCTTTACATCAGCCCATCCTGTTTGTTTGGCAAGGAGGAGAGGCACCTGGCAGCACCATCCCTGACAAATCTCTGCTGTCACCAGGAGAAGAGTGGGAGATGATCTCTGCTCGCCAACTTAAGTTCCCAGAGCAGATCACAACCACATTTCTCAAGGCATTGTTATCTGGTCCAACATCACAAAGTCAGAGATCATGGAAGAGGTAACGGTGTCCTGGGAAGACAGGATAGAAGCAGCGTTTGAGAGGAAAAAGGAGAAGTATGTGGAGCTTGTATCCATATGCCAACTGGCCAACCACCACTGGAAAGGTGTAAGCTTTCCAGTGGAGACTGGCTTCAGAGGCCACGCAGGAAACTCCACCCACTGATTCCTTAAGACCACTGGAATCAGAGGAAGGGCCTGGAGGGCACGGTGGAAGAAGCAGAGTAGGAGAGTTTTTGGCTCTGGTTATGCAGGAAAGACGAGGCGTGGGGAGCGATGGATCCTAGGGCAGCTGCAGGGGGCGGTAGGGAAACGTCTGTGAAGGGTGGCTTCCGGCTGATGACCCTGAAGTGCGTCAAACTCAAATGCTCTGCGGCTGGTGTCACCTGTGCTTAGATTTAGGCCTACCGTTATGCCTTCCAGTCATTATAAAAGTGTGAAACCACAAATTATTATTTATTGTTTATTAATTATTATACAAGTTTAATGATTCAGGCTTAGTAACTATTTTAACCCTAACTCCAAGTAGTTACTAAGACTTTTTTTTAATAAACTATGTGTTCATTATGAATTACCGTATTTTCCGCACTATAGGGCACTCTGGATTATAAGGCGCACTGTCACTGAATGGTCTATTTTCGAACTTTTTTCACATATAAACCACACCAGACTATAAGGCGCATTAAACGAAACACAACAGTTAATCAGTCAAACTTTATTTAAGGCGTTCACAAAAACTCTCAACTTTGTTCAATTGTAACGCATAAAAAAACTGTCTGAGACCGCTTAATTGTTAGCGTATTCACAATAACTCATAATTGTTCAAATAGCTGGGCGATTACAGCGTTCAGCACGCCCGCATCCCTCTCGTCATTATTCGAGTCAGTGTCGTTACTGTTCCCTGGTAGTTCAGTAATGATTCCGGTCTTAGTGAAAGCTCGGACCACAGTTGATACTGATCCATAGCCCAGGTGTCCACGATCCATTGGCAGATCGTGGTGCAAGTCGCTCGGCGCTGTCTCCCTGTCTTGGTGAATGTGTGTTCGCCTTCTCTCATCCACTGTTCCCACGCAGCTTGCAGTTTAACTTTATAACAGCCTTGAGTTTAAAGTAGGCGTTGTAAGCGTGTCTCTTGACAGGTGCATTTATATGAAAAGGAATCACATTATGTATTACTCCGTGATGCTCCTGACTACAGTAGCTGTAATGCTGCAAGTGGTGCATCTTTGTAGTTTACTAAAGTCGTACTAAAACACCCCAATAAAGTCATATATAAGGCGCTCTGGATTATAAGGCAAACAGTCGTTTTTTGATGATAGGTTTTTAAGTGCGCCCTATAGTGCAGAAAATATGGTAAGTCTTTGTTCATACTTTATTAAGACTGTAAAGTGTTTAGTTTTAGTGTTATCCATATTATTTGTCGTTTTTCATAATTCGGGTTTTTAATCAAGATAATTCATTACTAATTTCAAATATATGGTGTGGTTTAGTTGTTAAAATGTTAATACTGTGCACTGAATATATTTTAATGCCATGAACTGTAATTAAATGTCTTTCGAAAAGTACCAAAAGACAAATTTACAGAACATTTTCTCCATTTACCAAAACTAATCATGTTTACTTCTGCCTAAATAGTCATTCAATTGGAGTTGTTGTGACTTTGAGAGAGAAGTTTGAGAACACAATTTGGGTGACTGGGCTGAAGTGCTCGCTAGTCTAAATCATCAATCAGTCGAGGGGAAATGAATAAACAAGCAACAATCCAATCAGTGGAAGACTAAACTCACTAAACAAGCGTGTATTTGACGTCATTAAGGGTCAGCTGTTCACTTATGTTGAACAATGTAATCAAAGACGCACTATGGAACTTGCTTTGCCTAATGATTCACTGTATGACTTTAAATTTACAATACATGAATCTTCAGCTTCACGTCTCCACAGATCTGGCTTGGTAGGGTTAGATAAGTTTAATGCCATACTGTTCTTTTCTTGTAATGTACAGTTCTAGTCCATTTGATCTATTTTTGTTCCTTATGCAACATTTTCGGCAAACAAGTTTATGTTTATTTCATAGGTAATAAAAAGTGTAATCAAAGTTTCTCTCTGAGCTAAGTCAAAGGGTGACAAGTTTTTTAAAGGCCTTTCTGGACATAATAAAAATTGATCCATAATGCCAAAATGGTTTATTGAAGACGTCCATTATTTTTTGTAACTGTATTGTCTCATAGTGTTTGCCTTTTGCTTGTTTGTTTCACAGATTGTAGCCCTGCAGGAGGCCTATGACGACCTGTGCGTTAAAAAGGGCACTACAGCCGTCCCTTATTTTCTGTTGAAGTACAGTGGAGACTCGGTGCAGATGGCCGATCTCAAAGACTGGGACTCTTTCTTCTCTGATACTAAGAAGGTAATTTCTAATGCACTTTAAAACAACACACTCAAAATCGTGATCAAAATAACAACATCAGTGACATCAGTGATTACAACAACACCAATCAGGATCAGAATACCTTTATTGTCATTGCTCAAGCTGCACAATAAAATTTAAAAAGGCACAGTGGTTTCTGACAGGACATAAATTACCGGGATAGATAATAAATTAGTAAGACAGATCAATAGATCGGAAGATGCTATAAAATATTTCTCAACTAAGTGCCTGCCAATAAAACTGAAATGAAATGAAAGACTGCAGTAGCAAAATGGAGCTTCTCAGTTAAAGCCAAGAAAAAAAGATGTGTTTTTTTAAAAGAAAGTGACTCAACTTATCTAAGGTTCAGGAGCAGTGCATTCAATAGCTAAGGAGCTGTCCCCTTTAATTTAGTAATACCATTATAGTCATTCTTGCTCATTTTTTGTTTTATTTATATATTATTTATGATATAATTTATTATTTAATTATTTGATATTGCAGTTCGATCTAGTTTTGATACAATGTCGGCAACTACTGTATATATTGCTTAATCACAATTGGCGCATTATTTTTTTTGCCTTTGTATCTGTGTAAATATCTTCAATGTGTGCACTAGAAGCCAAAATATATTGACTACAGACAAAAGTACTTCCAGAAGTACTCATTCTCCTGATTGAAAATAAAGTTGTAGTTGAAAATACTAAAGTAAGAAAAAGCTGACCATATTAAAAAGTACGTCACCATCTTTGACAGCTCAGTGAGAGACCTCTTAATAAATGTCTACAGTGACTGGAGTGGAGCGCTATAGTGCCTACATCACATTAGTTTGATTCTGAGGAAAAAATGTGCACTTTTTTTAGTGCAGTTTTTTATACTGCAAAGGTACGAAGGCCAGTAAAAGTTGTGAAATTCATGACAGTTGAAATATGGTATTTCAGCATTCCAGAATGTAGAGATTAGGATTGTGTTGTCACATACAGAATTTTCATTTAGCCTAAGAGTAAACTGATGGAGATTTTAAGACGCTAAATTCAAAACTATCGTTCCAAAAGTATTCTGCCAATACTTTTGGTAGAATAGTTAACAAACTGAATTTCTCCTTCGCCGTGGATTCTACCTGGACAACTGAGGAATTTTTCACACTTCTGCCAATATAGTTTGATAAGTGCATTTACCAGCACTGTGAGCCAGCAGAGGTTTGTTCCACAGCTCTTTCTTTCCCCTTTTTATATATATATTTTAAATGGCACATGTTGACATTTGATCCCAAGTCCAGCAGTTTGTACATAATATATAAAATGCTTGAAGATATTTAAATAATGTAAAAAAAAAAACAACACACACTATGGTACTGTGCTCGATCGTAATAATCAGTTAACCTACAATACCTATTCTTTAGATATTAATACGAAAAGTATTAATAGTGCTGTTGTTGTTCATAAATCATATTCTTACAGTGGAAATAAGGTGTTGTGTTGAGACAAAAACATTATACAGTTGGTTAACCACAGATGTGAAGTAGCTTCTTTAAATGTCATGTATTCAATGCATTTGTGAGTATATTTACATAGAATAGACTAGAAAACAGACAACTAGAATAATCAGATAAGCCAATAATTACATAAGTACAATTTATTTTAAAATAACTCATTAAATCTTTAACATTTTCTCTTTCATTACAGTCTTTGTCACAAATTGCCATGAAATTTCTTCTGCTGAAAAATCTGCCCTCAGAATGAAATCAGATCGCTCACATCAGATGTAACTGTTTCCATGACATTTCAATAATCTGATAACCCCAGAAATTGAACAATGAACACATTTTTTATGTGCATGAAATCATAACCAATGCGTCTGGGTCTTTGCTTTCTTTTTTTGCTCTCCTCCTGCTGTTCTGTTTCTTGTGTGCTAACAGAACTGTCGTTCTTTGCTGGCAGGTTTCTGTGGGCGTCTATGATCCGTGTACTCTGTCCCAACATCCAGGCTGGCCTCTGAGAAATCTGCTGCTCCTTATCGCTTACAGATGGTAAAGTCCGTCAATGTGTCTTTATTTGTACAGGAAGAAGAAATTCATCCACTGCCAAGATGTGAGTGTAAGGTTTGGACCAGGGCCAAAACTAAAGGCCATCCTGAGATAATTTAGCTGATAATTGATTAACAAATATACCTAAAAATATGAATTACTTGTTGCTCTAATCATTTGTGCTCTAAAAGTATTATGTATAGGGATAAGGGATATATAGGTGTAAGTGATATCAGTAATGGGGTCATATATTTTCTATTTTTTTATGAAAATGTAAGAGCAATTAAGCTAAAAGACAAACATTGAATATCAGTATTGGCTGAAAAAAAAATTGGCTTAGAAAAACAGTTAGAATATCAAACAAAAAAGAGCGTTCTGGTAGTTTAACCTGATATTTGAGCTGAGTTAGCATAATGTTCAATGTCTTTATGGCTTGTAAGTAATTGGTCATTAAAAATTATGTAGTTTACCATCTACTTGCAAAGGTCAGTGAATGGCTTTAAAAAATTACAGTTGGCTTTGCTTGCTTTCGCTTGGCTGCTCTAGACTGATATTGTGCATCCCAAGTTATACCCTTTAGCGCAGAGGTGTCAAACTCAGCTTCACAAAGGGCCAAAATGAAAAACTGGGACTAAGTCATGGGCCAAACTAAATATTTATTGAAAAATGTCAACAACATCTGCATGTTTTCTTTTCCTTCGAGTTATGTAATGTTAAACTTTTTCTTTGTAATATAAATGTTTAATATTAGATTTGCTTAAATGTTGAATCCAGAACAAGCAGAATATAAAATAATAATAACACAATTTTAAATAAATACTGTCTCTATAGCCTATCTGTAGTTGGTGGGCCAGCTCTAATATGTTTGATATGATATCGTGGGCCAAATTTGGCCCCTGGGCCTGAGTTTGACATGTCTGCTCTAGCGCCAATATTCTTGGTTAACTCACTGAAACCCAGTAGCTAGACTAGGCTTAATCCTCCTTTAACCATTACAGTTTATGAACATGTTGGAAAAAAAAAAGAAAAAAAAAGAATTGCTCAAAAATACAATCATTCCCTTCACAGAATTGTAATGTAGCTTAGTACTGTAACTATACTGTGGAACATTCTAGACAAAGCAATAACTTTTCTATGGAGACAAGCAAGTAGTGGACCCTCCAGCAGAAAAGTTGCACGTTGCACCTTTAAGCCCTCTCATAAAACAATAGCAATAACATTCCTCTTGAATGGGTCATGTACTGTTCATTACCACCAGTCTTTATGCATTACAATAGCCTCTTGTTTCTCATATCATGGCCTGGTGGGTCACAGCTCTGTAATATACAGCTGCAGATTATGCATCAAGCAATACTCTGATGACATTTCAGGCTTTATTGTACAGCTATATCAATGTTTGCCTGGCTAATAATCATGAATACCTCTTTAACTAGTTTTATCTTTCGCATTTTTAAATAAACATTCACATCCTATAAAATACATTACAAAATGGACAACTGTGGCCAAATCTTGTGAAATCATTGGTTATTCTTATCCAGTAAGAACTATCAGTACATGACTCCATCAGCATAATCTGTTTTCATTGGCCAGTGTGATTTAGAACAACTGAAATTACCTAATGGATTACAGGGAGGTTAGTTTTATGGTTGTGAATTAGCAAATTGACTGCTGTTGGTTAAAAAAAAAGGAATGTGGCCTATTTTCAAGTAGGAAGATAACATTTATACGATTCTACACAATTAATAGACTTAATTCATGATGAACAAACTGTTTATTAAAAATGATTCATGCTTATTAACTACTTAATTAATACCCTAACTCCTAACAATACCCCTTATATTTACTAAAGTTTAAAGCAGCACCATGTAATTTTCTGGAGTTACACAGTGGAGCTTTAAGTATTTCTTCATTATGAATTCCGTGTGTGTTCATGGTTAATTAAAGCTAATTAAGGCGTAGGTATTATAAAGTGGTATAATTTATTTTATAAGAGCCATTGGAGGTATTTTGTTCTCTGTAAAGGAGTTATTGCTACCTAATTAATTTCTGCTTTTGCAATTTGCATGGAATTTGCATCATAAAATCATAAAATGTATCATAAAATGTTGATATGTTTGTGGTTATTCCTGCTGTCCTAATGTCCCGTGTGTTTTTAGGGGGTCTAAGCTGGACATGCTGGAGGTGCTGTGTTTCAGAGACAGGACTCTACAGGGCAGTCGCTCTATTCATCACAGTTTAATTTTCCAGCTCAAACTGCCTCCTCTGGCTCCCAACTCAGGTGAAGGCTTTTCCTTTTTCCGATAAGTGCACTGAATTGTAATTAATTACACCAAACTGTGGGGTTAATTACATTTTGAATCACAGTTATTTTATGTTGTACATTTTACTCATTTGTCTTGATAATGAGGAAAATTGTGTTTTTAATGTCAACTGCAAGAATAACTTGCTTAGTTGTGTTGCCCATATAGAGGATTAATCAACACACAGGTTATAATGACTCTCCGAAGACTATAAATAAATAGGGGTTATTTTAAGGTACATTTGATTGCCCTTGTTAGAAAATGTGTCCTCTGCAATGCTGCTGGGGCAACCTGTCAGGAGCAGTGGGCAGTACAGCACCTAGGGATATTAACATAGGTTCAGTCAGGACAGCCTGGCGGGAGAATTGGCATATTTTGCAGGCTTTAGTTATTTTCCACCTGTTTTTTTTTTGCTACCACAAGTCTGATTTTGTTAACAATGCTTTGAACGATTTGCTGAATATTGTCAATGTGCTCATAGGCAAGACAGTATGGCTAATTCTCCAGCTAAGTATTCTTCACCAAGACCGTGGCTCAGATCTGGAGAATGGTCCCTGGGCACCGCACTCTTGTCACCCATTCACAGTTTGATCTAATGCCACTGAAAAATGGGTCAAATGCAGAGGGCAAATGTCCCTAGAGGATCAATAATATATAATGTACCAGACTATTCATTTGTCAGTAATGAGCCAATGAAGAGCATTATTCAAAATGAACTCTCAACATGATTTGGACACTGTGGAATAATCAGTACAACTATTGTTAAATGTACAACTATAATTGAAACCGCTGGCAACCGTATGAAATCTAAATTATAGGTTATGCATCAACTAGCAGAGCTTTTTCCTCAGTGTTTTGTGTTTTCTCTGGTTAAAACTGGTTTCCATAGAGATTCTGTGCCTCGGTAAAGGCGTTCAATTTTCTAAATATCAAAATGTCACGCTGACGGGCAGCATGGTAGCATTTCAGCACATATTCTTCCCAATTACATGTCCCTTAAAAGCCCGTCTGCCTGTGTAGGTTTAAGCAGCACAAGACCTTCATAGATAGAAATGCTCCGATCTTTCTAATACACCCATGCTTTGCTCTTTTAAAGTTTGTCCAAAGAGTGTAGGCTGGGAGAAGAACGCCAAAGGAGCCATGGGACCCAGGATGGTGAATCTGAGTGAATGTATGGACCCTAAAAGGTACAAAATAAATATGGGAATAAATGATTTATCCTATACTTTATACTTAATACCTGTACTTTATACTTCTAGTACCTTACTTTAGCAGTTCATATTTCAATATTCTCTAATTCTTCTGGATGTGTTTAAGGCCTTCATTCACTCATTTTTTTTGGTCCTGACCTGGTTTGGTGCTGGTTTGGTTCGATATTTCAAATATTAATGAATTTTTCAAACATTATAAAGTTCCTGTACTTACATTTAGTTCAAATACATGGGGAAAAAAATATCTTGGCCCAGTACAGATATATTGTATAAACAAGTCAGCTGTCTACAGTCTGCATCCAATTATAAAGCATTTTATTGTGAGATAGTTAGGAAGTGTGCGTGAGCACGTTAGTTCTTGTTAGCTTTACTGTCAAGCCAAAACTCCACTCCACTGTGGTCTCTGAGAGCTGTGAAAGGCCCTTATAAACTCATCGTTGTAAATAATTAGGATGTTCAGAATGCAGAAGGTACATGGGGAATAACTTTGGACTACTGCAAACTGTTTAAAATGATCTAGTTCTGTTTTGCATGTCTTTAGACAATAGAAATAAAGTATAGTGCCTTTAAACATCAATTGAACAAAACAAAAAACAACATAAACAAAACCCATAGGGTGTAACGACGAGAAAATTTACACAAAACACTTTTCACATTATGACATTTAAACCATTTCAGACACATACAATCCAAAACTGTCCCACTGTTCCTGCTCATTCACCCTCCCCAACAGTTTTTCACATGCTGCTTTGTCCATCAGGGAATGAAGTGTCAAGGGCACAAAGGCACAGGTCAAAACTGGGATCGAAACTATAAGATATTATAAGATAACCTCTTCCACATGGGACTGTCATCAGAATTGTTTTTAGTCATGCAGGGAATATGAGAGTTTATTGTACCACTACCAGTATACTATAATTAGAGGCACTTTTGTTTAAAAAAAAGAAAGAAAAGAAAAGAAAAAACACACACCTGGCTTGTTTAATAGAGAATAGAGTGTTTGGCTGCTAACAGCGAGATCTGGCCCACCATGCCCATAGTGCACCATGGGGAATATAATTACTAATCCAATGCTGTTCCAAAGCGTCAAATCCAGTGCCATGTGTTTAGAAATAACAAAAACATAAAGTAAAGTAAGTTGGCAATGCACATTGGACACTCACCCAATAAAAGTTACATGGTGCAACTTTAAAGACACATGTTTGTTTTTGGTTACAGCAGATGTTATTCGTCTAATGGTACAGAGTAAAATGAATGAAAACAATAAGCTCAAACTTTGACAGGCATCTTTGTTTATATTTGTGAAGAGTGTCAATAGTTGAGAACAAAAGGTCTCAAAATATTGCGATTATATTTGAGATTTATGTTTTAGCATTCTGTTCACATTAAACATGTCCAAGAGAACTAACACAAGAACAAAAACCTGCCTATTAAATGTGAAAACTAATAAAAGAATGTATGTTTTTTTGGCAGATTTTTGTTATTTTTGGAGAGAATAATGAAAAATTACTTGTTTTCAGACTGGCTGAATCATCAGTGGACCTGAATCTGAAGCTGATGCGCTGGAGGCTGGTCCCTTCTCTGGATCTGGACAAAGTCATCAGCACCAAGTGTCTGCTGCTGGGGGCAGGGACCCTGGGGTGTAACGTGGCCCGCACTCTCATGGTAAAAACACATTAAACTTAATACATTTGTTACAACGTTTCTCTTCCTCCTTCAAATGTATCGCTTTTGTATTCAATTAGTTGTTTTTGGAAAGCGGTAATGCAGTTTCATTACACACAATTGTCCAGATACACTTTAAGATAGGAGTGTCCAAACTAGACCCTTGGGCAAAATTCAGCCCTTGGACCATTATTTTTTGGCTCTCTAGACTCCTGGTGAATTGGCCCAAATGATCCTAAGTAGTACTTTTACTGCATTTTTTAAAAATCCTCTAGCACCATAATCTCAATAACAAGTATTTTGGTGCGAGGCAGGTCTGTTATTAAAATTCCAGACCTATATAAATGTATGGTGGCACTGTCAAACCAAGGATAAATGCAATTTTTTGGAATGATTCACCATATTAACCACAAGTATACAATTATAAATGTAAACGATGTTTAAAAATATAAGATTAATTGGAGATAGGGGTGATTCTTTGCAATGGAAAACAGCTCTATCTTTTGGGTACAACGCGAAGCACACGAAGTTTGTGTGTTAAATATTTCAGAAGAGCTATCAGCCACAAGTATTAAACCTTCTGCTTTGTCTATGCTGCAATACGCGATCCTAGATGAAAAAAGTTTGGACACCCATCCTTTAAATGTATCTTCTCAATTCCATTCAAGACCATTTAGTTTCACGAGTCTTTTATATGGGTATCTTTTTTTTTATATCTTTTTGGACAATCGGAGGGAGGCAGGGAGCAAACAAACAAACACCACAGGCCTTTTACAAAAAACATTTTAAGTACAATACAAGAAGAAGTGAAAAATAAACTATAACAATTCCTATTTCCTCCAACATAATAGAGTATTGATCTTGAAAAAGGTTGCTGGCTCCATGGTGACTGACCTAATAGACTTTATAGAACTGCATAGCAGTGAAGGCTCTTGGTCAAAATGCTCTTAGCTGGAGCTTAATTGTTCCTTTTCCTGTAAATCAATGATGGTAAGTTTCAATTTGAAGTCGCATGAACATAAATGTTTGTATAATTTTGTTATTTGACTGAAATTTATATCAAAGTACATAAAATTCCAGCATTTTTTTGGAATTCTATGAAACCACTGCGCTACTGAGTCATGATCTAGTTTTCTTACTGCATATTTATGTCTAAATATAATCAGGCTTGTAACTAGTGCTGGCCAGTAACACTAAAATTAGGGACTGTAGAGGTTAATAGCTATTTAACTACAATGCAGTACGGAACATCAGTTTTTTATTAGGTTAATGTCTCTGTACAAAAAGGCCAATGTGATCGGTTTCTTTTAATGATTAGATACTTTAATAATTATATTAATATTGACATAGTAGTGATTTAGTGCTGTAGGTTTCAGACACCTTTCCATATGGTCTCCGTTCAACCTCTGTCTGGCTCTAAGTCAGTGACAACAATAGTAATGAACTTAAACTAATACGAAGTACGAGAGTTGAAGACTGTAGAGAGCTGTAGTTACCTCTTAAATTAAGATATTAGGTATACATGAATTGTGACATTTATCAAAATTGCAGTGTTAACTCTAAAAGAATGAACTTTTTGGCATATCGTCCATCACTACCCTGTAACTTTTTAGTCATTTGTATTTTCCTAATAATAATTCATAGTGAGCAAGCTTGTTCATTTTGTGTACTAAACTTTGAGACACTATGCAATAAATAGTTCCAGCGTTATGATAATTTAAAGACAATATCTCCAATTGGGTGAAGTTTTGACTTTGTTTTGCAGGGCTGGGGAGTGAGACACATCACGTTTGTGGACAATGCAAAGATCTCGTACTCTAACCCAGTCCGTCAGCCTCTGTATGAGTTCGAGGACTGTCTGGGTGGAGGCAAGTCTAAGGCCATGGCGGCAGTCGACCGTCTCAACAAGATCTTCCCCGGGGTGGTGAGTCTGACAAGCCTATCATATACAACTTACAAAACACTATTAAACTTAAAAATATTAAAAACCTCTGTGGACAAAATTTAAGATGGTGATTTTTGATGATGCTATAATCTTACATATGGTGAAATAATTATTTATTTTAGTTTTGCTGTAGTTTAAGGTGCCCTATGTAACTATAACTGTGTAACTATAAGTGTCCACCACCTGCTTGTCTCCGTAGAGATGTTATTGCTTTGCCTGGAATGTTCCACAATATTAGACTCAATTTTTCTCTCTCCATAGAGACAAGCAGCTGGCTGCACTAAGGCAGGTCTGTGTAGACTCAAAACCTCTCACAGTGAGCATGTTTTACAGTGAAAAGTTACATTGTACACATTTCATGATCTCAGAAAACTTGATAAGAAACAGCACAACATTAAACAGTTACTTACCAACTGCTCTGTCACTTCATCTTCATTTTGTACTGGACTTGCCTGTGCTGCTGATTCATGCACTTTAGTTAAAAAAAACAAGTCAACAGTTCTTTTGTGCCTCTGATAATAAATCTACCTTGACCTTTAAGAACAAAGTAATTTCCCAAATAACTGGTTAAAAAGGCCACTGCTGCAGAGGAGTGCAGTTTCACCAAGGACACTTGGATTTAAAGCCTTAAAGCTTTTGTTTAAGTTTGTATCTCCTGTTTTTTTTATCGTTATTATAATATACTCTATATTTTTATGGACCATGAACCAGTGTTTACCCATGACAGCTATCTATTATTCTTAAATTCCACTATCAGAAGTGTCTTTGTGATGAGAAATTAGCACTGTTGCCATGGCAAATAACAATAAAAAAACTAAATACTGTATATTTTGAATGGTGAATGGGGCAACGAGCATATTTTATACATATTTTAGTGAATAATTTATTTATTTATTTTTTTTACATATAAGGCAAAAATTTTACTACAAAAGGGACTCCAAATTCACTACTGAAGGAAAGTCTTAATTTTTTAATTGGTTAATTTTAGAACTGGGCAATGTGGGAAAAAAGAATCACATTTTTTCCCCCATACTGATCGATCTTGATTTTCAATTCGATCTCCTTCCATCTTATTAAAAACATATACAGGTGGACTTCAGGAATAAAGGGCAGGGTGTCAGGGTCACCAGTTTTTGTTGTGTTAATAGGACCAATAATTCCAGAGAAATTCACATTTAAAGTTTGGAATGAGTTTGTACAAAATATTAAACCTAAAATCACACGCGTGTTACCTCTAGCAGCAGGAACCCATGCACGCGCGGTACCGCTAACAACAGAACTCACAAATGGTGAGGAAATAGTCATTTACTTTCAGTAACTTGGATTATAAAGATGAGAAGCGCCAGAGGAGGGAAAGAGGAGAAGAGGTGAGGACCTGCGGCTGGGTTAGAGAGTGGGAGGGGCGGCGAGGGGAGCAGGCAGACACACACACAGAGGGAGAGTCAGATTGTGCAGATTTAAGTCAAAACTCATGAACTTGTGAACACCTGAGGAGACAGGAATGTGCCGTGGCTCAGGCTGCTTTATCCTAAATAAGAGAGCATAAAATTACGGCCACAGGATTGTCCGCAGACATGTCGATTAAAATGCACATGCCATATCATCGAGATCGACTAAAGTAGAAAGAATGATCTATTGATCTTTCAATTTTTGGCACAGCCCTAGTTCATTATATTTTGTCTATCTTTGCACCCTCCTGTGTGGGTCCTTTATACAGTCTATGGTCCCTCTACAGTCTATATTTTCTCTTATTACTGTGTGCCCAGGCTGCTGTTGAGGAAGGAGCTGTCAGTCTGATGCCCACAGAATGAGTCATAGTTACAGAAGTTGGTGTTATTTACAGAAGAGTGAAGGAGGTTACATTTAAGATTTAATTTAAAGTTATTAGCTTCACAAATAGACATGACAGTTGGCGCAAACTCTGTTCATAACTTATTATATTTTATTGAACCAAATTGTGAAGCCATGTTTTGTCCCAATATGTTAAAATGAACATCTTTTAGTGTGCTTAATTTGATCATTTTCAATTTCTGTATTCAGTTCAGTTCAGTTCATCTTTATTCTTGACTCATGGTCCATTTTTAAAACAGACAAGGACAGTGATATTACATAATGTATTGTTTGAAATTACATAAAAATTACAAAAATAATACTTTCTTTGATGTTATCTGTGGTCTTATGCTAATTCTGGGATAGACCAAGATATTTCTTGAACTACCCACAAAATATTTGGTTTTGTCCTATTTATATATCACCAATATTACTGATATTTGTGTAAATAAGTATACTAGGACTATGTAGTTTTGATACTAGTTTAAAGGTCACCACACATTACAGAGAAATTTGCCCGATTTAGACTGCAATTTGCCTCTCCCCAAGTTTGGGTAGGCGTGACTCGACATTGTGTCAGTGTGACTCTGAGCTGCACTGTCATATAGGAACTACCAAACATCAGCAACGCAACAGCCAATAAAACAGAGCATGAGGGGCAGACAGCGTGACGGACACAGAGATGCAAGATACAAACTCAGTAAATAGCGAAAATAATGAGGAGACTTTATTACTCACCTTTTGTAAAGCTGTACATTTACACTAATCCATATTATCTATTTGTTCTCTGCAAATAATGACCCCCAGTCCACAAAACAGAGTGCTGTTAATCCAGTTTGAAGCATTCTATAAAAGTTAAATTTTGAGAGTAGTTCCTTAAGTGTATCTGATATTGCCTCTACTGTGTACTTTATCACCAGCTCTCTGTGCATTAAAATCAGGTATCTGAAGTATTGCTTCACATTTCACAAATAATTACAACACAGTTTTGACTTGCACTCTCAAAGTCTCAAAGCGAATGGTTTTACTGTAGACAGGAAACAGCAGACACGATCGCGCTCATAACTGTGTAGCCTGTGATCTGCAGACATATCCTGCAGCAGTCTTTGTGATCTTAGATTTTAAGTCTTATAAGATTCTCTTCGTGTCTGTTAAAAAATCGCTTAAGATTGAAAAATCCTGTAGTCTGTGGTGGCCTTTAGATTAGTTAGTTTTAAACTTAGTACATGTAGAACAACATTTCTCTTCCTCCTTCAAATATACCACCCTTATATTCAAGTAGTTCTTTTCAGAAAAGTGTAATGTGGCTTCATAACACACAGTTCTCCAGAGTTTTGACACTAGTTTTAGTATTGATCAGTATATTTTCTTAGTCTATTTTCTTTGTCAACCCTGTGTCCAAAAGATGAGTATAAATCTACTTTTAGATTTCATTTCTACTTCTTTCTTCAACTCCTCAGTGTTTGTGAGCAGTCTGCGGTCAAATGGCAGTAAACAGGTTCTTCAGAGGGAAGAGTCTCAGGCAGCTCCTAAGTGGGCTTTGTTTGTTTGAGCTTTTCACGGAGACCACCTGTGCCCCTCCCTCTATACCCCGCCTTCCCCTCGCGTTGGGCCTTTAAAGCTGCTGTATTGATGTCCTTTGAGTCTTAACTTCCAATTATATTTTTTACTACCAGTGATTCTTATCTGGCTCTTTGCATCAGTAGGTCAGTTTGTCTAGTCTGGCCATTCTTTATATAAAGTGTCTGTAGAGACGAGAGGAATCTGGTCTTGTCAATTCAGTTTTAATTTCTATTTTTATTTTACTGCCCAATTAGATCTGTTGGCATGTGCCCATACACTGTTTGTCTAAACTAAAGCATCTCATTTAATGTGATAAACTAATTAGCAGATTGTTGAATTAGTTTCGTAGTTCAGAAAAAAATAATTGCAATTTTTTGACAAGCAGTAACATTTGAGAGAAGACTGATATGTATGAACTGACACTATTTTGTTTATTTGCTTACATTTATTTATTTTTATTTATTTTTTTTACATAAACCATTGCTTCCTTTAGTTTGATAATTATGGCAAATTACACTTTTGATTGTGATTACTTGTACAGCACGAAATTATGTTTTAATTGACCAGATAATCATCACATTTCATTAATTAATTATAATAATAGAGAGCACTAAGAAGTGACTTTTGGGCCATGTGGTGCTTTTGTGAGTGGTTTATTCCATGTTTGACGTCTGTAGAAGTAATATGTAGATCTTTTTTGTCTCTCCAGTGTGGAATTGGCCAATAACAACAAAACACAGAGTAAATACATTATATTATTACAATACATTACATACATAATACATTATTACAACACATTACAGACCTTTATTAAGATACATGGAGCATTATAATTCTTTCATTGTATTAATCTCTATGTTTGTCTGAGAACTTACTTTATATAGAGTGTTCATTCACCTAGGTACAATTTTAATTATAAGAAATAAAAATATGTTGATTTCAGTGTGTTATAAAGTGCAATACCAGCCTTCTGTCTCCCCATCTTCTCCTCTTCTTCACTACGAGATTTCCCCCCACCCATTCTTGTGCACTTTCAGTTATCTCTGATCTTTAATGAAATGGAAAAAAATGGATAATGATGCATTGATGAAATAATGAATGAATGAATATTTTGGTGGTTTTGATTGTATTTTGGCTTCCAAGATATTGGTTCAGCCAATATCCCATTTTGGTCTATAAATTGATTTACTGGCCAATGTCTCATAATATTAAACTTGGATTTTTACACAGCTGTTCTGTAGTTACAAAACACAATCTGGATTTATTCTTTTTTACCTTATGCTGTTTGTGTTTAAAGAAAATAAATAATGTCACAGTTCTGCCTTTTTGTTTACTTGTTTTCCCCAGTCCAGTTCCATTTCTCACTCAGTTCCGGTCCTCCTTTTGCCACCTTCCTCCTTTCCCTACAGCTGCCTCTCATTCCATAATCAGCCCAGGCCCAGTCTATATATACTCCCTCTGCTCCCTCAGTCTTTGCCAGATTGTCAACCTGTTTAGACAGACATTCAAGCTCCTGAAAACCTGAAATCTGAAAACTCTGTATTCCCTGAATCTGATCTGTTTGTGACTTCTGCTATTCTGTGTTTCCCTGTTTGTTGTCCCTGTTCCTGAGTTTACTCCCAGCCTGTTTTTTACTAGTGTATTCCCAGTCTTGGAAGATATTTTCGTTCACATTTAATATCATATATTCCTCTGTTATATTTTCAGTCTGAGTTGTCATTATAAACATTTCCTGTTATAGGACACTTTCGGTTATTTAAATAAGACTTTGTTTGCCGGAGTACTTGTGTTGCATTTGAGTCCAATTTACCGGCGTGATAAATAATATTTTCAGTCTTTGCCATATTGCCCAGTCCTAATTCAAATGACTTATATTTACTAAGAAAATGTTCACACATATTCCCCTCGGGTTCTGTAGTGACCTTTTTGATCATGTCCCTTTCTTTGTGCTGTGGTCAGAACGCAGAAGGCTACTCCATGAGTATCCCCATGCCGGGTCACCCAGTGAACTTCTCTGAGGCCACAGTGTCCCAAGCCCAGAGGGACGTTCAGCAGCTGGAGCGCCTCATCTCAGAGCATGACGTGGTTTTCCTTCTCATGGACACCAGGGAGAGCCGCTGGCTGCCCACTGTTATCGCTGCTAGCAAGAGAAAGGTAATGGAAAATTATGACATATCTATGGGTTTTGGATTTTGACCGTCTCCATAACTATTAACAATTTGAAGAAAAATATCCACTTCTAATACCAAATGACTAATTGTTATTGTATGGTACAGTTTATCAGCTCTTAAATCATATATGTCAATATATTACATATAGTTATTTGCCTTGACTAGGAGTACAAACTTCTAGACACTAGACACAATCAGCTGCAGCTAAAAGATTCATTTGAATAATATTTAAAACTTCAGAGAAGATTTCTAATGAGCCTGAACCTGCATTTCATTGTACTGCATTAGCATTTTGCCATGGCTGTTTGCTAAAGCGATCAAATTGAATCAGAAATTAATGTAATCGTAAAGGGGTGGGAAGAGGTGAAGACAGGGAAAAACAAATGCAATTATTTGGCTAATCTAACTTCAGTGTTTGGTTATAGGTATTTTTCACTCATACAGCCTCATTCCATTTGCCTCAATAGTTTCATGCACCATACCTATTTTTCAAATATGTTATTATGACACAATAGGAGCAGTTTAGCTTCTTAGACTATGTTAGACTCCACTTAAAAGTTTTGACATTTCTGATTCAGTTATCATTGAGTTCCAGGTCACAGTTAATATGGCAATTTATAAACTGCAGCTGCTTCAGACCTCACAAAACGACTCTACAATTTACTTTTATTGCTACATTTCTTTGACTCTAACTGTTATTGAAATCCTGGCAAAGATGTCCTTGTGTCCTTGCTACTTTATTTTTATGAATTGCATTGTATCAGTTGGGAGGGAGTAATAGATGGCTTTATCACTGCTTTTTTGTTCGTTATAATTATTATCTGTAATGCCAAAGTTTGGGACGCCAAATCAAAATTAAAAATGCTCATCTTGTACACTGTATTTTTCTCACAAAGGAATATCCTTGTATCCACAAAGGAGGCTGAAATTACAATGGTTTCAAAGTGAACAGGCTATCATAATAACTGGGTTCAAAATGTGTATTACAGAAAGGTAAGTGAGCTGCAGTGTAAATTATAGCCTTTCTAGTAATATGTAGCATTTTATTTTGACAGGACCAGAGCAGTTTTCACATTTTAAAGGTTTTCACATTTAAAGGTCCAGTGTTACATAAAATTTACTCTTGTGAGCTTTAAGCCATGTTGTAATGTTGTTACCTCATCAAAAACAGACCCTGAGTTTGCCTTTTTTATTCTTTTAAAATGGTTTTGATCAGAACTAGTATGAGACCATATTTTATTGTTAATGCAGCTACTATTAATCTCTGTTTAAAAATGAAGTTTGTATTCGTTTGATAGTTAATACTGTGACAACTCTATACTTGCTATGCAACCATTTTTGTTATGAATGTGTAACTTCTGTCATTATGCAATATTTCATCAGAGAAGAAAAACTAAAATACACGTGTAATGATTCCCTTCAATTTAAATGTGTTGTAGCAGATTTTTTTTTATTGTTTTAAAAGCTTGAAAACAGAACTAGTTGATTTGAAATAGTTTGCAGTGGTCTACAACTACATGGACAAAAATTGGGTACAGACACTTTAACTGTTAATATGAAAAATTGTTAATAGCGGTTAGAAGGAAATGGTTGTTTATCTTAATCTTATTTTATTCATTGTATTAACTGATTAAAACAGACAATTTTTTTTCATGAATTAAAGCTTGCAGAAATTAGAAAGAGGAGAAGGTGCAAAAAGAAGACCCGTCTTATATTATATTTCCATTTTTATCATTTTTTTTCATTATAGTTGGTGATAAATGCGGCTCTGGGCTTTGACACGTTTGTTGTCATGCGTCACGGTCTGAAGAAGCCCTCTGTCACTGACAACGCTTCGGCAGACTCCTCCACTTCCTGTTCTTCCACCGCCTCTTCCTGTGTGTCCACTCCGGCTGGCCCCGCCCCCCCTGCTCCAGGCTCCTCCCTTTTCTCAAACATCCCCGGACACAAGCTGGGCTGCTACTTCTGCAACGATGTAGTGGCACCAGGAGACGTGAGACTTTACACACATTGCACACTCGTATTACACAGACAAACACAGAGGCGAGCTACATGTAAAAGTGCTATGAAAAAGACCAGGCTCTCTTCTGGTTTTCATATATTTTATTATTTGTCAACAATTAAATCTTCAGTTACCTAAACCTTTTGTAGCTACCATCTTGTTTCCGTGGAGATTATTGCTTTGCTTAGATTGTTCCACAGTAATGCATTAAATATGTCTATCTTGCATTCATTACATTCCACGTGTTTTATTGCAATATCCTGCATTACCTAGTATTACTTGCATTCTTACTGTGAGCATGGTCTCTTCTCCACAGACACTGGAAACAAAATTACTTGAAGACACACATTTTTTATTTTTTTTTAATAAATAAGGAAAAAAAGCTGCTTGTGATTTACTGCAGTTTACTGGAAAAGATGGAGCAGGATTCAGATGTGGGCCAGAGGAACATTTCAGGTTATTTATGTTACAGTCATTTAAGATATAGGTAAAAAACTAGCCTTACGAAATTTGAAAAAAATAAATAAATCAACATTTCTGCATAGTTTGGTAGAGTGACAAAATAAAGATGCCAAATAACTTGTTGGTATGACTTATGACTTCAGATTATTCAAGTAGTTTGTTGTAAAATATACATCCAGACATTGTCATGTAGTAAATGATATGCTAATGTGTTGTGTTGGTGAGACAAGGCCATGTTATTTTCTATGTACATACTGCATCAGAGGCTTCTCCTTCCTATACGCTTCAGCATCCGCTTCTTACAGGGACACAGTCTAAAACTGACTGTGGAGCCACAATAATGGTTATGTAAAATGTGTTATTTACATAGCGTGTGGGCGAACACAATCCAAACAATCCAAATGAAAAATAACTTTATATGTACCAGATGGCAAGGTGAAATGTTTATGACCACTGCTACTGGAAAAAATGAGGCACAAATAGCAGCAGTTTACCTATAATGGTTTTGTCCTTGTGTACTCATTTTCAGTAAATTATAGATTTTCTATTGCTGTCCCTTCAATCGTGCTTTAATTCTTTACCTCACTTCATAAAATGTTGAGTTCTGAAAAGCAGTGATTGTGTAAACTAAATAGAAGTGTCTCTTTCTCAGAAACTCAGGCTCAAGTCCACTCGTCACATTATCCCCTCTCTGCTGCTCCTGTCCTCTGCCTCCTCTTCAGATCATGAAAACACTAGTCTGATGTTTTGAGCTTGAGTCAGCTAATGAATATTTGTTTGAGTTTTTTGGATTGTCTCAATGCAGCTGTTAAAATTCACAGAAACTATAAAAAATGCATGTTTTTCTACAATGTAAGGTGAGCAAAAAAATAATTATTTCCTGTTAAAGGCAAAACAAGTTTATTTGTATAGCACAATTTGTACACAGTAGTTCAAAGTGTATTACAGAATAAACTATACAATAATAATACTAACAAATCAAAACTATAGATATTAAATAATAACAATAATAAAACACTTAACAATAAAAATATATATCAGTATCATCCCTTCATTAAAATTCACATTCTAGTTTCGACCTCTAATCTTATAACCCCTGGGAACCCTCTAAGAATCTTTAGGGGACTACATGTAGGTCCTGACCCCCATATTTGGAATTGCTTATCTTATGTCATCAGTGTCTTAGAACGGTTAGTGCTAGATAGTCGGGTCCAGAGGGACAAAAGTGATCACGTTGCTCTGGTTGCCACAGTAACATGTTAGCATATGTAGTTATAAACAGGCTTAGTCTTATAAGTTTTAACTATTTTATGCTTTATTTTGTAGTTCTTTTTTAAAGTTACTTCTGCTAACATGTTAACTCAGCCAAAATATTGTCCTAATTCCCACTTTTAACAATTTTCTTCACCCTAACCCTAACCCTAAACAATTTCCTAACTTTATAAATAATCCTGTCCCTAAACTTCATCACTTGAAAGACCCATCCGATCCGGTATTAAAGCATTAAACATTTTAGGACTCTGTGCAATTCCTGTATTTTCTAACTTTTTTTCCTTAAAATTTGCTGTAAAAATATGATTCGTTGTTACAGGTCACAGGTCTTATCCATTTCAAACTAAATAATTTGAAATCATATCCCACATAATGTGTCACTCTGGAGGTGGTTTTCATTTACAAAGTACATGTTGTAAATACATGCAATGCCTTTTTAAGTTTAAGTTACAGTTCTCATTTGTATGCTTCTCCATTTGAATCCATTTAGTATTGCATTACAAAACATCTTCTGATTTTATACATATGTCTACTTGACCTCTGTCTTTGTTGCCTTACAGGGACTCAATATCATTTACAAATGATTCAAAACTCATTTGAAGCCCAGAACCATTTGTTAAATAGGTTCTCCTCTAAATGTCTTCTGGGTCCAGAAATGACCATTTAAATTGGACCCACCACAGGTTTTTGCTTGAAGAAATATAATACAACTCAAATCATACTTTTCTTGCTGTTGATACTATATTGGTGTAAAATGATACATACTTTAGGCTGTGATAACACGTCTGTGGTTACAGCCAAGCAAAGGAATGAATCAAAAGTATTGCAGATTATGTGGGAACAAGATGCACGTCAACTGTGACTAACTGTCATTACACAAGCTAAAGGCTACATGCTAAATGTCAGGATCAAGCCAGATGACACAATACCCTTTGTACCATTCCACTATTATAACACATGCTTGTTTTTTTTATATTTAAAGTGCCCACATTATGCTATTTTCTGATCTATGTTATAATTATTTTCTCATCAAAACATACCTGGGGTTATGTTTTATTTCATTCACACAGATTTAACACAAAAACACTGCATTTCGAGCTTTGGAGATGTAGACAGACGAGTAATGCAAATTTACTCAGACATGTGTGAATGAAAGACAACACAACTCCAGTTATCTTTTTGATGAGGTAACACCAATTGATTTATTTGTATATAGGACCTTTAATAGAAAATACAGAACCTTATTGATTGGTTTTGTGCTAGTTTAAATGACATAGCTGGTCTGAGTTTTGGAGCTCAAGTTTTAAGCTATTTCTTGCCGGTTCATTCATGTTTTTCCTTTTTAGTTCACTTGTTAAGGGAAGTTTTGGTTATGCTGACACATGATTTTGAAATTCAGTGGATGTAGTCAAAGATTTAGTCACACTTTATGTCAGCATAATAATAACCCATTTTAACTTGTTTTATCTTAATTTTTGCATGTTTACTCGGTAATGAGCCAGCCCTCCATTCTTGTGCACATCTGAAAGGGCACTGCACACCCTTTTTGATGCAGAGTATGCCATTTGCTTGTCTCCTAAGAGATGTTATTCATTTGTCAAGTTACAGGTCAGATTTTTTGAAAGTCAAGCTAGGTAATAGCTAATGAAATAAATACTAGATATGTTTAATGTCATATTGTAGAATATTCGAGGCTAAGCAATAACATCTCAATGGACAAAAGTGGTAGTACACAGTGCACCTTTATCCATTGTTCTTTCTGTTGTCCCCAGTCGACCCGGGACCGCACTCTGGACCAGCAGTGCACAGTGAGCAGACCTGGGCTGGCCATGATCGCTGGAGCTCTGGCAGTGGAGATGATGGTGTCCATACTGCAGCACAGTGAAGGGTGGGCTATAATGAAACACATTTTTTCTAACTGTGGTGCAATCTGCATGAATAATTGAGTAGGGTATGTAACTTTCTGGAGTTGGAAACTAGAAAATAATAGTGATCAATGTACATTCCAAAATTGTAAAACTAAACATAAGTACATTTAAAAGTAGACTGGTTGTTTAAAAATAACAATATTGGAGTGCTGCACTGGATCAAAAACTTATGCATACAGGTGCTCATCAAACCGGATCGCTTAGATTCTTGTGGAGTGGGAAAAAGGATGGCAGAGGCACTCTGATTTGCGGTGTATTTATTAATAGTCTGGTTGTTTATCGAACTTTTTCACTCAGAAAGTTGAATTTCAAAAAGCTAGTCACATACTAGAGGAATGACAATGTAATGGATAATGTGAATGAGAGAAAATTATGGATTTCACATTTATTGATTTAAATGACCTAAGCTGATCACTGACAATTAGAAATCAGTGAATATCAAAAATTGCACAGCCTTTTAGCATCATAACATAATGAACATTTTCACAAATATCAACTGTATACTTGGTATAAAATGCAATGTCATGAAAAAAAGAATAGTAATTTGAAATATATTTTACACAGTGCTTAACAGGTCTACATTCTGTATATTTGTATCTGGTATATTTTGTCTTCTGTATTCACTTGTACTTGTCGAAAAAAGCCCTTTGGAATAATAGACTGAAAGCAGCAGCTTCAATCAAAGTTGTCTTGCAAATGCGTTACCACTATTCCTTTCCTTCTCACATATCTGCTCTAAAAGCTCAAGTTACACGTTCCCATGGCAATATCAGTATTTTCAGGTCCTTTTTTCTAACTTTGAAGGGTCTATATAGCTGTATTTAATGAGCAGAGATCATCAAATGTAGATGACTTGGTGGTAATGCTAGCCATGTGTATGCTGTCTATAGTAAGTGGCCACCTGCTGGGTCGGATAAGGCCATTTCTCACTGTTCTGATGCGGCTTCAGTTGGTTGGATATCACAAGTTAAAAGAGAAAGTGTGAAGAAAGAGGAAAGGAAGCAGACTGCCGTTTTCTCAATATATATATTACTTTTTGAGCTTTCACTCTTTTCAGAAAGTTTGGTAAATGCAGTAGGGAGTTTATGAAATAGGTACTATAGTTCAATATCTGTTGTTGTTTGGCTAATGCATCTCTCGAAGTTTTTCACTATTGTTACAAAAATGGAGACTTTTATCAATAAGGGCTGCTTTTTAGATGTTTGATCCAAGACTCAACACTCTACAGTAGACCTGTTGCTTTAAATGTAGTGGTATTTTGATATGAAATTGAAATAAAATATGTGGATCATTGTTATAATTTGTACATTTTAAATCACAATTCATCTAAAACAACGTAATAAAAGAAGCAACACCGAATTAGAAAACCGTGGTGTCCAATCACACCAAAGAGCCCTGAAGTTGTCGGCCCCTCAAATGGTTAACTACACATCACACTAGCGAGTTGTGGATTTTTTTTTTAAATTTGTACCAAAATGACTACGTGATGCTGCTGAATCATATTCCAATTAAGGACATGAATATTGGAGAACAAAGAAAGTCTAGAACAGTGTGTGTATGCCAGCGGTGGAGAAAACGAGGGCTGATCGGCAATATGGCGTCTTGAAAATAAGCAATTACAGATGACTCAGACGTGCACAAATCACTCCCAATACAACTTTGAGAGGGCAAATGAGAAGGGGAAACAAATACTGGTAGGTCTGCTTTAACTGGAGAAACAGAATCCTATGGTCTGAGAAATGAAAAAAAATTATTTATTTATTGCATCAGTTTATCCAAAGAAGTTTTAAGTAATTACTCAAGCAAATGTAACACAGATCAACCCTGCTGACCTGATAAAGACTATTATGGCTTGTCCTCTCCTGCTTTTATTGTGTAGACATTTGAATTACTATTCTTAGCTGATGCTTTTGTTTACACCCACACTAATTGAAAGAAAAACAACATGTGTAAATAAACATGTCCCTCTCACCTTCAATTCACTATCTCTCTGCAGTGGATATGCAGTGGCGAGCAGCAGTGACGACAGGATGAATGAGCCACCCACCTCTCTGGGTCTAGTGCCACATCAGGTTAGACTCTTTATTTTCCTCTCCTCTCGTCCTCTGTCTGTCCTCACATTCATGTCTATGGAGAGATGCATTTGGAGGTCTGGTACCAAAGTCTCACCTTACTGATTACATGCTTTTTCCATATTTAACTAAATATTTCAGTGGTACTTTTAGCTGTAATGATTAGAGCTGCAGGATTAATCGGAAATTAGCAAAACACAAAGGCTGCAGTTTTTTCTTCACAAACAACTAAATATCCTTTCTTCTTCTACATAAAAAATGGCGAACCCTGTGGTTTAAAGCAGATGTTATTCTAGTATTGGTTTAGTCTTTTTGTCAATTCTGCAGAACGTGTTTAAAATGTGAAATTGCAAATCTTCTCACAATCACAGTTAGATACTTTTCCTAAATTGTTCAGCCCGAGTAAATTCTATGGAAACCATCGTTGCCAGGTCTGTGGTTTTCTAACATAGTTTTGAAAAAAAAGTTGGGGGGAAAGTCTGTCTTCGCAGATTGCCCTTTTCTTGGGCTGCTTTTAAAACTCGTGCGGCTACAAAATATTAACATATTGCTTCAATAACTGGCGACTTTCCACACTAATTTGAGGGATTTCCGAGTGTCTTTTGGCACAGTGCCTTGCACAGATCTGTGCACACGCCTGAGTGCATATTGATTTATAGACTTTGTGTTTTTGCCTATTAAGAACGAAAGAACGTCTTACTTCTTACTTTTGATGGGGTCAAAAAAGTAACTAATACAATAAATGCCAATAAAATAAAGATGCTTAAATAAGAGAGTGGCAAAACATCCACACAGCCTATACACAACGTACAAATATATGGTGATATATGGTTTATGTATAATGAAACAAGAAGAGAGCAGGAGAAGCAGGAAAGATTAACAGACAGAGATTCTTAGGCCTATGTGAATGCTTTTATTACAAGCTGTAATGAAATGGCAATATGGCAAAAATGTAATGGCTTTAAATTGGTGTCTTTTGCGGATTTTGAGAGAACATTGGTCTATTTTTTCATTGACCTGGCAACACTGATGGCAACTTTCCTCCAGTGCATATGTAGAGCAGTAATACCATTCAAATTAAAGTATATCTTTTGAATGGAAAGGTCCTCACAAAATTCTTCAAGTTACGGAGAATCTTTTGCCTGAAACTCATGAATAGGTTGTTGAAATAGAAGCTGAAGGTTCTAATAATTCTATTTCAACCACACTTTATACTCTTACATGCATGAATATAATAAACCTAAACAACTATACAAAGGATTATTTAATTCAGTATAATTCAGAGCAAATACAAATCAACAAAATTATATATATTTTATTTATTATAACTATTGTTTTTTTTTTTCGTTGTAGATTTGGCACTTTCCATAATAAACCTTTCTTATTTCTTACTTCATTACCTTATGCTTACCTTTATGCTGTTGCCATGATTATAACATTTAAATACGTCTAATGGGCAAATGAATGTCAGTAACCTTAAACTTTGCTTTTAACCGCCACAAACTGGGACAATTTCACGCTGCTCTCCTTTTAAAGCCTGTAACGGACGACCTTTTAGCGTCTCTGAGTTTGATTTGACATCATAATATTTCCATAGCGTTTGGCAGAGTGAAGTGCACCAGCAGGAATAATTGTTCTTTTAGCCTCACTGGGCGTCACAGCGAGAACAGGCTGTGGATGGACAGATCTGCAGCTGTCCAAAAACTGTTATGGATGAAAAGAGTGAAACGTTTAGGAGGGAAGATGGACTAAACTAGGTCTAAAGCAGGATTAAGTCAAGACTATAATGCAGTTAAACCAGGATGATATCAGGGTTTAACCAGGTAACACCTAAGACTAAGGGTGCACTTGTTCTGGTTGTGGTCCGGTTGTGAGCCCAGTTCAGTCCTGATGTGGATTTGGTTTGGACCTGTTCCAGTCCTGGTCTAGTCATGGTCAACTCCAGGTTTAGTTCCAGGTTTAAGTGAGAACACAACTTAGATTTTGTTAGATCAAGATCAAACCTAAACTAAACCAAGTCAAAAAATATAAAAATTAGGCAAATATTTAACAAAATGTCAGGCCCAACTGTGGTTAACTTAATAAGAACTAAACAGAACAAAACTAACCCACCAGGCAAAGGAACAGGGGTGTTTAAATGCTGATGGTCTAACCAAAACTGAACACAAGAGGGAGGAATTACACTAAAAGATAAACTAAACAAGTGAGTAAAATGATTCAGACATACATTAACTAAAATGTGTCCACCAGATTAGATAATAAATATCAGTCTAATTAAAGGAATTAAATTAAGATATGTGTATTGTAATTAATGTAACTTAATGAAAATGTGAAATGCAAACTGAATAAAATGAAAGAAAAATACTAACACTGTGGAGCGGTGACAGAAGTATCCACCACACCAGGATTACACTATGCCTCTCATAGGATAAAACTGGACTCAGCCAGGACTTAACCCAGATTGTGTTCCAAATCTATTTATAAAGCACCTTTCACAGACAAGATACGTCGCAGCAATACAGAGAATAGTACAGTGCCAGTTACACTAACCTAAAATTCAATAACAAAAGACCCTTGAGATTCTGTCATCAGAGGGTTCATAGTAGTTTAGTTTATTCAGTCATTTTGCAGCACAACTAAACAAAACAAAACATAGACTACAGTCCAATAGATCATGACCGAAAGGGTTTAAGCTGAAGTAAAAAGTACTCATAATGCCTAACCCTATTAAACAATGACAGAATTCCAAGAAAGAAATCAGCGTATGAACAGCAAGTTTACATTTACAATTTCAAAAACATATCACTTTATGCTTTTTATTTTTATTTATTTTTATTTTTTTTTTAAGGCTTCTACAATATTAGACTTTTTAAAATCATCACTCAGGTTGTTTTTTTTTCTTAGTTCTTATCTTCATTTTTTTTTAAAGATACCTGTTCCTCTAAGATTACACTGATTTGATCTGTTCAAATAACTCCTGTAAACAATGAGGAAGCAGATGATTATAGGCTTTGTACATCACTACAGCTGTACTCAGGTCAACAAGATCAAAAAACTGAAGTACTTTTAGCTTAACAAAAATAGGATTTGTTGGTGCATAGTAATTTGCATGATTAATAATCCTAAAATTCTGAATGAAGTATTATTCTTTCATTGAAAATGCAAGTGTATGCCATAATCTCCTATTAAATAAACAATGAATGTAAAATACAATTCTAAATCCCTTTTAAACTTGGTCATGGTATCACTTAGATCTATGTACGTGGTTATCATTTGCCAAACTCCCCTTCATTGTTCATATTTTGTGATGTTCTGGTTAATTCCACTTCACTTTTGTCTCCAGTTGTTGCTATTATAGAATTTAGAATGTATTGTTTACAAACTTTTGAAGCATCTATATGGAGGCTATCCTTGCAGAATGATGAACAATTAGGACTGTTGCCATAGCGATAAACAAGTTAAACCAAAATCTGCTGAATGGGAAAAAGTTCTGAAAATGTTGCATGTAATGGGAAACTGAAACCCATGAATATACATCAGTAGCCCCCGCACCACAGATTGGGAATCACTGGGCTGTATGATCCACAGCTGTTCAGAGCCTGCTCAGTTTGGTGCTCTGCTGACTACTTTCACACTCTCTCCATATCGTCATCTCTATCTGCATCATCATCATCATCAGTATTCATCGCCCCCTGAATCTGAATTTGTGCCTGCACTTGACACCTCTGCAGCTTGTGGTATTTCAACCAAATAATTCAGAAAATGGCAATGCAAATAGTCAATGTGTGTACGTGTGTGCATGTGTGTGTGTGCGCGTGTGTGTGTGAGTGGGAGAGAAGACAGGAGTGAGGGGGTATAGGTTACTAATGCCATGAAATAATATAGATGGAAGATTCATTTAGTGCGGCTATTTGTGCGACTGATGAGAGATAAAACAATGGCACTTGTCCGGAGATTGGAGATTCTACTAGTTTGTGGTATTGCAACAGTGACTCTATTCATTTGAGGTATTGCAACAGTAACTCTAGTTGTTTGTAGTATTGCAACAGTGACTGTATTTGTTTGTAGCATTGCAACAGTGACAACTTGTGGCTAGCTTTAGTATTGACAGTTCAGCTTAAAACATTTTGTGGATTGTGAATGCTATATTGATTGGAGTTATCAAACCAACATTTTCAGGGCAGGTAATAGAAAACTAGACACATCTCCACTACAAAAAACCCAGACAAACTATTGAATTTTGCATTGTGTGGATGACTTTTTTGCATCTTAGTAACTTTGTGACTCATAGGGACTACAGCTGAAAATTAAATTAGCAGCTAGAACTGGCGTGTTTACAGAAATGTTCGTTAATGTGCACTGTCCCTGTTGAAATAATAAATAAAATATGAAATTCTAATATGTATATCTTAAATAATAAATGAGTAATATTTTGACTATTTACTAAATGAATGTATAATTAGAAGTATGGAAATGAAAAGAAGGTTGGATTGGTTGTGGTAAAACTGATAAATAAATCGTCATCTCCTTTTGAGAGACTAAAATTAAAAAACAAAAATAGCATATGGCCATACCAAAGGTGTTATCATTACCATGTCCAAATGATTGTAAATTGTTTTAATTCATATTTTAGCTGCTTAAATATAAAAAAGAAATAATTCAAATGAGCATAAATCTTTTGAATGCAGTTTCTAAAGTTTCAATCTGAGTCACTTCTTCTGTAATGCAAATGTTCAAGGCTCCCTTATGTGCTAAAGAACCATCAGTCACTCCACATGAGCAGCATGATCTAGCCATAGAACGAGAGGACTATTGTAAAGAAATTCTTGTCTCTGATAGCATGAGCTGCCATTTAGAGAAAAAAAGCATTATAATGGCTTTTAGTGATTTTTATGCAAATGTTAGTGTTTCATTTCATTTTGGATATATCCTGTTGAGGTGCTGATATGAACAGAACAGACTTTTCAAATCAAATTTCCGTGTTCAGTCAAAATTTTTGAAAGTTAGACAAAGCCTGCTCACTTACTCACACACTGCTTTTAATGAATGACGTTTTGTTCAGTGGATCTTCGTTAAGTCATGGTTCTCTCTGTGTGCCACTCCCATATATATCTATAACTGTTCTTTTGATTTTCATAATCTTCCCTGTCGTTGGGTGTGTATAAGTTTTACATTTATAAGTCAAATTACATTGTGCACCCGCAGCGATAGTTTCTTGGTGGAGGGTCTAAAAATGTACTGCTTCTGCTTCAGATTAGACTTAACAAGCATTTATCTGAAGTTTCGAGGACGTTTGTACACTACTTGAGGAGTCTCATTGAACACATTTTGTCGTGATGGATCTGTGTTCACAATGTACCAGTGCTTTTTTAGGATTCATTGTCATTTCCTTGGGCAGAATATTTTAATAGCACCTGGGTACATTTTTAGTCCGTTTGTTTTTTTTTGTTTTGGAGGCACTCCAAATCCGTTTCTGGCTCCTTTTATCCACCCCTGCTTGTATGCTCACAACCTGAAGCGATTTTTTAGGTCATCTGCTTGTTTGACATAGTCTTTTTGCTTAGTACAAACCCTGTAGCTGCCCGTTTTAAAGTAGCACAGCACCCCATCTCCTCTCTTAAATATATCAGGATAGAGCAGGTGAAGCCCCTAAGAAGAGGAGGGGATATTAACAGGCTGCTCCTACAACAACAACATGTTTAGATATATATGGAAGTGTGACCACATCCACTGATCGAACATTGAAAAGCAGCCAGGCTTTGATGTTCATTGCATATATTATTGCCTATATCTTTTATGCATTTGATAACTAACCTAACCCTAACCCATTAATGTAATCGAGCTCAACAGTCCTCAAATTTCAAATTTCCATTAGACTTTTCAGAAAATTCAAATATTAAGAGTTCAAAGGCATTGTGGAAGCTAACCTGTTATTTGGTTGCTAATATCCATAACAGGGTTGTTTTAAGTCCAAAAAGCATGTTTAAAACTCATAACCTTTAAAGGGACAGTCCGGAATTTTGGACATAGGACCTAATTTCCTAATTAGCCAGAGTGTTGGAGACGTGTGGAGACACTTTTTTAAAATATTCCATCCAGTCCTTGTATTTGCAGAGGTTGCTGGTGCTAGGCTAGTGCATGTCAATGGCTGCAGTTAGCCTGCCACTAAAAACAGTTGTACCCACTCCACAAAGCACCCGATGTAAATGTATTAGTATGCCAGACTGTCCATGTGAATGTCTGTGTTGATACGATAATTTTAGAAGTAAAACCAACTTTCCATTTGAAGGATTTATGTCTGAGCAGCAGCAGCGAGTTGTACTTCCTGATAGAAAGCTTGGCAGCGGCAGACTGATATCACCTAGCACCTATCTTACCGGCAAAGTAAAATTCCGCTGCTGCTGAGAAAATAGTCCCTCAATATGCAACGATTCATGTGATGCAAGGTTAGTTTTATTTCAAACATTATTCTATCAACACAAACATTTACATCGACAGTCTGGTGAAATAATAGTTTTGCTTCATGTGCTTTGTGAAGTGGGTAAGACTGTTTTTAGTGACAGGATAACTATGGCCATTGACATGCACTAGCCTAGCACTAGCCTAGCACCAGCAACCTCTCCAAATACAAGGACTGGATGTAATAATTTAAAAAGTGTCTCTGCATGTCTCCAACACTGTGGCTCACTGGGAAATGAGGTCCTATGTCAAAAATTCCAGACTGTCCCTTTAATAATTTGGCTGTTTGTAAAGTTTTAGAACCAGATTATAGATAAAGTTATACTAGTGGGTCCTGCGGTCATTAGTTACCATGTAGCTGATTAGCCCTGAGCACACTTTCAAACTTTTAATTAATTTTTTTTTTTTTGGAAAAGTTTTAATAACTTAACGCTTTGTAAAGTTTCAGAAACAGATTATACATAAAGTTTTAGTTCTTGTGGTCATTAGTTACCACATAGCTGATTAGGCCAGAGAACACATTCAAACTTTTAATGAATGAATTAAAAAGAATAGTAAATTTACTTGAAGAAATTGCGGAGGATTGTGTATATTTCACATATATCAAACCAATCTGCAAAGTACTGGCATAAAAAAAATAAAATAAAAAATCCATTTTACTTCCCACGCTGCTCCTCTGACTCACTCTCCCTCCACTTCGTAATGACTGCACTTTCTTCAAATGCTCACAACATGCACACTTCCTATTCCTTCCTCTCTTCTCAGACCTTATCAATGAGCTTTAATTAAAATCCTCCAGATGCATTGATTAAAAGATGCTGTGCTTAAGATTATGAAGTTGTTTGGGTTCAGATTGCTCAACCAAAGAACACATTTTCAATTATGTCACTCCATTGCTCATAGTGCTTTGTTATTGCATGATATTTGTTTGTGACCTCTTAAAAATCAGGATGCCTTTTGATGCGACAGAATAAAGATGTATTTGAAATTAGCAGCAAAAAGAACAGGAAGAGTATTATGTTAAACTATATTGGTCTCAATGTGGGGCGTTTTCCTTAAGGCATAGAAATGACTTTAAGGGAATTCGTCATCGTTTTGGCAGCCGGAAAAATTTGAAACAGAATATTGTAATGTTTTCAATTGACCACCAGATGGTGTTCCTTACCAAATGATAAAATTCTGCCTGTCAGGTAAAGATTAACTTGTGAGGAACCAGCAGGAAGTTATATGTTATATCAAGCAATACAACTTTTTTTATTGTATAGATAATTATTTTTAAACCGGAAGTTATAAAATGACTATTACTATGTCAAAAAACAGCAGTAGCAGTAGTTGCAGTAGCAGTAGTAGTAATAGTAGTGGTTGTTGCTAAGTACTATTAAGCATTGTATTAATGTTTGAGTCAAAATAGTCTTTTATCTATTTCAAAATCATGTACCATTTTCTTTTCTGTGCCAGATGCCAACCCAAGTAAAGCTGTTTTTGTCGGAAATCTGCAACTCTGTGCTACTCTGAAATAATGTGTAATCATTTTTTTCATGACATTTATCTTTTGGTTCTTTTTCATCACAGATCCGAGGTTTTCTCTCAAGGTTTGACAACGTCCTCCCTGCTAGCCTGGCCTTTGACAAGTGCACCGCCTGCTCACCCATAGTAAGTAACTAATTAAAGGTTACTATGAGAATACTTTTTGAATCATGTATACTTGTTTTCCTCTGCCTTAAATCTTTTGTATTGTTGTCACACACAAACTGCAGGCTCAGCAGAGAGTGGGGGATTCCTGGCGTTCCCGTTCCCATGTTAAATCCTGTTGAATTGTTGCTCTTTTGGGAACAGAGCGCTTTCAGTGAAAAAAAAATCAAGTTGCTCATATGGAAATAATCAGCCAGTAGTTTATTGAAGTCAGTGACTGTCCTCAGAGTCCAACTAGCTCCTGCCACTAACTGTGCTGTAAAACTCGCACGCTGCAGTAGCAGTATTAGAAGTATTAGTAGTACTAGTAGCAATATTAGTAGTAGTCGTCGTAGTAGTAGAAGAGATAGATCTAATGGAACTACAGTTTTAACCAGTACATTAAACATACAGTACAGTGCACTTTTACTTTTACGTCTATGTAACACAAACACAAACACAACATAAATAGGATAACATTGAAATAGTATAGAATAGTCTTTATGTGTATCAGAACTACCACATTATAAACTAGCTCAATGGGGTTTAAGTCTGGAGATTGTGCTGGACACTCCATGTTTTCAAGTTTACCATCTTGTACTTTTTTCCTGAGGTAGTTTTGGCAGAGCTTGAACTTGTGTTTTGTATCTTTTTTTTTCTTTTTTTTTTTTACCTCTGGCTGTTCAGTACCTGCATTTGTACCATTTCAAGCTCTTCATTGAACTTGCACAACTTGAATTGCAATAAATAAGTGGAAGAATTAGGGTGTTCTAAAACTTTTGATCGGTAGTAGTAGTTGTAGTAGTAATAGTAGTGGTAGTAGTAGTAGTCATAGTAGTTGTCATAGTAGTCGTCGTCGTAGTAGTAGAAGTAGTAGTACAAATGTTAGTCTAGTATTGGTTATTGTGCATGTATGACAAGAAGTAGCAAGTACATTTTTTTGCGTTAATTATTTATGATCGAAGTAGTTGTAGTTGTAGTTGTATTGTAATATCAGCAACTGCAGATTCACAAGTAACACTAGAAGTAAATCATTCTTTGCCAAATCCTACTTTTCACATTCAATATTGCTTTCCTTGACCCAGTTTCAGTTCATTTCATTGACTTGTTTCCACAGAAATAGGCTATTTGTATTCTCCCTCAAATACAGATGTGGAGTTTGCTGTTTTTGTAATCTTATCAACCAACTAATGGGCCTTCTCAGCAGTTTTTTTTTTTTTTTTTTTTTGTCATGGTTGGGGGAGAAAAAACAATAAGTTAGACAAAAAAGTGCGTGGGGGCTGGTCTGAGGGAACAAACAGCCCAGTGGAGAAAAGTCTAGTCTGTGCCTCTGATCTCAATGGAGTCTTTGTGTTAATCAGGAGGTTAGGAAGGATCACTCTGCCACTGCAGTGTCAAGACAGACTGCAGAGAGAGATAGCAACCAAGCAGATGAAGGCTGCACAAAATATCAGATTGTGATTTTTCTGACAAGCAATTACGATTTAGATTTGTAATTTTTTTAAATGTAGGATTCAGTTCAGGAGTGCACTATGTAAACACAAGATACAAGTACAAGATTTCTCTATAAAAATACGTAGTTCTTTGCAGAGGACAATCTATTTATTGTCTTTGCAATTTGATAATTGCTCTGACTCAAATTGCAATTTTTGATTCATTTGAGATATACCATGCAGCCCTGTAGTAGTAGTAGTAGTAGTGGTTGAAAGTAGTAGTAGTTGAAATAGCTTTAATACTGCTTTAATTGGAGCAGTAGTAATAGTAGTTGCAAGGTAATACTAGCTGTTTTATTTATTTATTTATTTATTTTTGATGCAGTAGCAGTTGTATTTGAAGTATAGCAGTAGTAGTAGTGGAGTAAGGATAGCAAGAGGGTAGTGGTTGTAGTAAGTAGTTTTAGGTAGTAGTAGGTGGTAATAGTAATAGCGCAATTACAGAAAAGTAACTATTTAAGTGAAAATATTCTATTTATCCTACTTGTAGTTCTATTTCTAGTATTATTTGTAGTAGCCAAAGACATCAGCAGGGTAGTCTTTAGTCTTGAGTAACTTGGGCATACAGGTGAACTTCATCATTATAGAAATACTATTAGTTGTTGCTGTCAAAAGTATCTCTAGTGGGGGTTTGAAGGACCTTGATTTTAGTCTGGCCTGTCTCTTTAAGTTTTTCATTGGCATCCTCCCTCCTACGCTGGGTCCATGTAGTTCCTCCCCATCCCGAGGTGTCATGTTTCAGCCCGTGACCGATGTGATTATTGGGCTCACAAAGGGATCATAGAGTTTGAGACGCTCTCAACAAGAAGCACAGAGGTTTTTCCCTGTACAGAGCATTGTTTAACACACAAGGAGAGGAAGTGGACATTTTAACATTGTGTCGTATTTGTTGCATATACCCCCCCCGAAACATATTAAACTTCACAGTGGTCATTTTGTTAGTTCAAGTATTTTATGAACTGAGTAAATTCTTCTTAGCGTTCTTGAGCATTTACAGACCCTGCATCCAAAGAACAGCTATTAAAGTTACTGATATGGAAGTTTGGTATTCAACTCAGACTTTTAAGAGCATAATAACTTGGTAAGAGTTGGACTAAAATCCTAAATGTGAAAGTTGTAGTGAGTAAATTACTTTATATTTGCAAATTGTGTAAAAATAGGGATAAAGTAGTAGCTGTTTGAAGTAGTTGTTAATAGTAGTAGTAGCAGTAGCAGCAACAGTAGCAACAGTAGAAGCAGTAGTAGCTGTAGTAGTAGTAGTTGTTGTTGTTGTAATAGTAGTAGTAGCACATAGTATTATGGTTGTCCAGTCATCATTGTGCTGCTCAAGCTACTAATGGGCTACAAGTTTTCTGTATACATATATGGACAAACATAATTTGATGTCTTAAACTTTGTTAGTTCAAGACTTGATTAACATGTAAACATATTATAACTTTACACTGTATTGCACTGATACAAGCATCATTTCATCACATGTAACTCAATACACAGAGTTGCTTTGGTCTGTTTCCCAGTCCTGTTCTTCCTCCCACACATCTCTCAGTCCACTGTAACGTGTCTTTGTGCGTCTATCCTCTTGTGTGTGTGCGTGTTTCATTGTGCGTGTTATGTGTGACTCCTGGCTCTGTGTGCTGCCAGGTCGCTATAGAAACAAAACAATCCGGGCCCTGTGTGCACCCGAGCTCTTCCTGTAGCTTTTTCTTCTCCCACTTTTGTGTAGACGTAGCGGAGCAGTACGCAACATAGGAGTCAAAGAGGACGTCACTGCTATTCTGAAACATGTGCTAGGACAAACACAACATCCAAGTCATGAATAAACTGATCAGGAAAGTAAAGTAGACCAAGACTAGACTAGGACCTAAACCAGGACTAAACGAGGTTCAAAGCAACAAATGAGTAACTAAACCAGGTCAAAAGTACACAATATCCAAATGATGAAGAAACTGACCAGGAAACTAAATTAGAACAAGACTAAACCAGAAGTAAACCAAAACTGAACTCAGACTAAATCAGGCCTAAACCAGGACCACGACCAGGACATGAACAAACAAAGTCTGCATAAAGACTAAACTGGGTTCAAACTAGTGTAAATGCAAACAACACTTGGACAAAACCCAATCTTGATGAGATAAGACTAAGTCTATACCAGATTTATACCAGCTGGACAAAACTTGGCGAAACCAGGGCTAAACCAAGTAAACCAGGGCTCAACGAGGACAAAACCAGGCCTAAGCCAGGACAAGATCACAGCTAAACCACAGCTCAACCAGGACTCAACCAAGATTAAACCAGGACTAGATGAGAGCTAAACCAGAGCTAAACCAGGGCTCAACCAGGATTAAACCAGGACTAGACCAGAGCTTAACCAGAGCTAAACCAGAGCTAAACCAGAGCTAAACCAGGGTTTAACCAGGGCTCACCCAGAATTAAACCAGAATTAAACCAGAACTAAACCAGGACTAAACCAGGACTAAACCAGGGATCAACCAGGGCTCAACCAGGACTCAACCAGGATTAAGCCAGGACTCAAACAGCATCAGAATCAAGTTCAGGAATTAATATATAAATATAAATATAGAATATAACAAGGCATAACAAAGCAACAAACTTTAACCTAAACCAGGACTAAATCAGGACTAAACAAGGCCGATGTGGCTAAGTGAGGATTTAGCCAGGTCTAAACTAGTCTAAAATATGGACTTGAATATTTGAAACCTGTGTGTGACTGTTCTGGAGCCCAATAAAAGCAGAGGCCCTGAGTAAACCACAGCTGACGTGGCTTTGTCTTAAACCAGGCCAGACACCTCTCACTGCCGTTAGACCTGACAAACATGGCGGCTCTTTAATAGGAAGGATTATGCTGCAGGTCTGGAGAGTGAGTCCACCCATAAACATCACTTTATTACACAGTCTACCCAGGCATTGCTCATACATCTAAAAGGATGGTTAATCTGCTAATTATACTATAGATGTGGTTCCCCAAATGTTGGACAAGGGCTTAAAAGTGAGTCAAGACAGGCCTGAATGGGAATGACATTTTTTTTTTTTTTTTCACAAACTCAAAAGTGTGGAACAGCCTGCACATTGCAATCAGTAGCAAAGCGTGGCATAGCAATTATAAGAGCTGTAACAAAATTGTAACTAAATGGACTAGGGATGCAACGATATACAAATCTTTTGGTACGATATTATCACAAGATGCATTTCACAGTAAAATATTTATTGCAATATTTTGGAGAGGCTGATATAATTGTAGATAGGACACTTTTTTGCTTTTAAAATACTCTGACACGATTTTGGTGTGAATTATTACTGTCATAATCCCAAGAATTAGAGTAAAAAACATATAATTTAAACAAAAGTGGGAAACAGAATTGAAACTTGAATTGTCAGAGGATGATTGACACTGTATATGGCTTTTACAGCACTCTTCCACCTGCTCAAGACAATGCAGAGAATTTGGTTGGAAAAACCAGGTGAGGGATT